GTTGGAGGTTGAAGAATGCCTGCTGACGTGTCCTCTAAAAATTGCTACGCACCTGCATTTCCTGCCTGACACCGCTGCTTTGTGGTCAGACTTTTGAACCGAAGGCTTTGGTCGATAACCCCAGTCGTCCTTCTGTCTGCGTCTGGGCCCCCTGGCAGTATGCCAACTCACGTACAACCATGACGCTTACAACCAACTAATCTCGTGCCACATCGACCGTTGTGCGGTGTCACCAGCCGGGTCGCCTTACCTACTTAATACAGCAAAGCAGGTAAGCGAAAACTCAAAATTATCCAACAATATATCTAGAGAAATTGGGTTATCCGATGTAGCTGGTGCAGAATGTCCAGATCGGGACTAATTCGTGTGACAGACTCGTGTCGGACTGTTCGTCAACTTCGTATATGACGTTACCCTTGCAGCGTTTGATGTGACCACGAGTCCATTTTCCACTGCTGCTGCGATAATCCTTAGAGAAGACCGAATCACCGGGCGTATATGTGGTGTGAATGGCACCGTGATGGCGTTTGGACCGTGTGTGACTTGTTCTTTGGAGCAATGCCCAAAACTGTCTTGGAAAACATTAGGAATGGCGCGTGTAACCTTTTGGGAAATGTATGTGTAAGTCAGATGCACGTTGTCAAATACAGACTGTAGAGGGGCAGTGAAAGATTTAACTGATCTATCTAACAAAGACCGAGTATTATACGGGAGCTCTTCAAAAGCTTCCGCGCCCAAAGTGATCCGTCAGGGATGCCCTCTCCATTCCTCTTCGATTTCGTGATCGATGAGATAATGCGACAAAAGCTTGAGGTTCTTCAAAAGCCTGTTGTTCAAATAGTTTCTGACGAACACCTTGTTGATCTGCAGTACGAAGACGATATCGTTCTCGTTTTCAAAGAGAAGAGTGTTGGTGTCTTTGGATGAATCATCCCGCCATCCTGCACGCGCTTTTCATCCATAAACAGCAAACTCTTGCTTGTGGGCATGCAGTCACTAAACGTGCCACTTAAAACCCAAGGAGATTCGCTCAAAGTTGTGGAGCGTTTTGCGTATCTTGGATGTTGTACAAGTCTTCATTGTAGTGTGACAGGTGAGGTCAGTGCACGAGTCTTTAAGACTCGGTTCGCACTTGGATATCAGGCTACAGTACGAGCTTTTTTGTAATATGACTGTGAGGCTTAACCTGTTCAAGCAGTGGAACTGTGCCTTATTCACGTCTACGACGACCGTTGTTCCGGAATCATAAATCGTGTGGATTGTTATCGGAGAATTCTTAACGATGCAGTTAGAAAGCGAGTGCAACAAAGACTTCTATGAAAGAATATATCCATCACCAGAAGCTGCGTTGGTTAGGCCATCTATTGCGCATACTGAACCATGGTTTGCTGAAGATTGCTACTTTCCATGTCTCATTTGGAGTGGCTTAAGCAGAATGGTGGTCACCCTTGGCCTAAGTGAGGAGTATGGAAGACATACCGAAAATCTGGGTGCCGTCCGTCCGACTCTCCTTCCACGATGGGAACCGCGTAATTCCCACTACACCTTGTTGGATATGGCTGTTAATCGACTTTAAAGACGTTCTTGTCAATTTCTCCCCAGATTATCTTAGTGAGTATTTGAAGGTTTGGGCACCTTGGAGTGATCGTGGTAGGCTAGCACTAAGTTCTTTCCCCGTCCATTAAAAAAAATCAAAAGATAGCTTCCAAATAAATTGTGGTTGTACGTCAGTGAATCATCAAGGTTGATTACTGACGTCGAATCTAATAATAAAGCACAGTTAAGTGGTCGCCTTGGACTGCGATCGAAATGCATGCTACTGTGATGTGCTGATCACACACTTTCTACACAGTGTTGTCGAAACAGCCGAAGCTGTTTGTCTGCATGATGGCCTCCAGATGGGGGTCGCCTCTGACCACATCTCTTTCACTTGAAGGTAGTGCGAGTTAGTTGCGGACTGTCGCTTATTCTGGAGAACCCTTGCAAAGTCGGATCAAGCGCTCCTTTGCTGCTGCTTCTCTCCGCCGCGTGCCAGGTGCGTACAACTCGCGGTCTCAGACTCTGATGCGATGGAAGGCTACCGGAACCACCGACTGAGGTCCCTGTCGGACAACACGTCTTCCGTAGTTGACTCTTGATGTGACAGCCTTGTAAGACACTGGGCATTTCACTCGAGGAGCAGCACAATCAACTTACTCTTAATACTAGGCCTCGAAGCTCGGATTAGTATTCATACAATACCTCTAAACAAGCTGTCAGATTTCAGGTGAGAAGGAGCATCTGCGCGGATCAAGGAGCCTAATAAGTTTAGTAAGTTTATGAAGTGGAGAAGGGAGAATCTCTGAGTGCATAAATAATGGTAATAGATAAGCTGTAGCACCCTTCTGTGCCTAGTCTGAGTGCATAAATAATGGTAATAGATAAGCTGTAGCACCCTTTCTGTGCCTAGCTGCTATGCCACTAGAAGGAAGCGCGAGGGCTGGTATACTGCCAGGTTTCCCAAGCCTGGGAGTCGAGAGACAGAGGTCGGGTTCGAACCACGGACCTTCTGGTTAGTAAATTCGCGCTTTAACCACTGAACCACCTCGCAAAACAAACACCATTAATCGGTTCGCTTATCTCCACAAAGGACGAATGCCTGAATAGTTGAGTTGGACACTTTCAACAACATTTTATCTGACTACCCGCAGTGGCTCAGTGTGCACTGTTTCAACTTATTAGGAGGGAGTTTACTGGGACGTGGAACGAACCGGAAGCAAAAACTCTGGACTGGATGACCTTGGTTGGATCGATGATGATGATGACGACTTGCCTTTGAAGCCAAGCGACACCAAGATCGCTGTTTGTGTCTACATCACAATCCATTGTTCATCAGTGAACGACGATGTTTTACTTTTTACGGTGGATAGTTTCAGGTGCCGGTGATTTTGTGGACACCTGGCCACAATCATAGATATATCGCACTGAGTGCCGGTGTAGAACGTTGGTTCTACTGTGTGCTCTGTAGTCCAATGGGCTCCTTGTGGAACATGATTGGCGTGAAGTATACGACTCGTTGACGAAATGAATGATGCTGTTCTCCAGAAACTGATCTAACCAGGCTTTGGTCGCATGGAGTTTATTCTACGAACAGCTTTTACTTCCTGCGTGGATAGGTGTGATCCCGGTTGCAGCTCAATAAGCCATCTGTGTAACAGGTGTTATGCATTGAATTGACGTCGTCGGAATGTGCAAGCTGTTGGAAATCTAGAAACGTGATTGAGGAGTAGAACATTTGGCCAGATTACTGGGTATGTGGCTTTTTACTCGCGCGTCACTCGCCTATGGTCACTACCAAGTTGATGTCCTAGATGATGTTCGACTTCAGGAGATGTGCCCTTTTGTTCTGTGTAATTTTCTGAGATGCGGTTTCGCATATTCAATCTGGTTTAGTTGACTGCATATCGGGATGCACTGTCTCGCGCCGATGTTGATTATTTGAAGAACTTTTGTTGGGACGGGAAAAGGTACTGATCAGCGCTGATGCTGAAATGAATAAGGTGTTTAGTGAATTTGAAGACGACCAACTCCACCCATAGCGTCGAGCCTAATTTAGCTTTTTATACTGTTTCGGTCGTATTTCTACTCCATCCTGTTTACCATTTACAGCCGTAGCTCCTTGGCACTTCACACTCGTCAACTTATGCTACTTTCAAAGCTTAGCAGAATTGGCAGGTGAGTGTTCCCCCCCAGCTAACCAGTTTTTCTCAGGTTGTTTTATATTGGTAGTTTTGTTGAACAATAGCAAGTCACATTACTGAATGATAGAAGTGTCTGTTGCGGAGAACGGGATCCTTGGTAAGGTGTCTGCTGGTTTACAACCGAACGTAGCAAAACCATAAGGTTGTAGAGTATAGTACCAGCTTACATTCGCTCTTGACAGCCGTTAACCGGACATGCATGTGTAGATTGTATGAGTTTCCTGTTAGATGAGAACTATGGGACCACACAACATCAAAGCAAGCATACTACTGCTAGAAAGATGGAGGTTATCAATCGAGTAGTAGTTGAATTGAATAAGGCCCTGCTTCAGACCGTTCTGTGCTGTGTTGTGGTCCAGTTGTCAGTCAAATTTAGATACTTTTATGGGTCCGCCTTGCAGTTATCTCTCCGTTCTTGTCATTTTTCCGTCACGGTTTGCTTTTTATTTGGTATTGCCTAGGGTGCCGTGTTTGACAAGTTTTTTTCCAGCCAATGACGTAACGTGTCGCAATCCATACGAGTTTCCTGGACATACTGTAATAAAAGTAACTCAAACTAGACTGTGGTAGTTGAAATTCGTGAAGCATTTGGGGTCACTGTCCTGTCGTCGAGCAATTTCTCTTGTAGACATTCTCAGGGTGAATTATGCGGCTTACTCGATCGGATGTTTCCTATTTGAAACAGGGAATAATAGTAGGACTCCCCATACCCACTGGAATGTATACTGCATACATTTTATACCCTGCATATTTGTAACTGAGACATCATAATCGTCTTACTATCTGAGTCAGTACGCACGAATGGTCTGAAAAAACTGCGAATAATTCCTTCGTGTAAATAATGTATTCCAATTACTCAACAACACTCGCCATTGTTCCGGCCCATTATTCTCACTCCTTATGGATAGCTTCTATTCGTATCGCAACTGCGTGTCCCACCGCAAACTTTGTTAGCGGAGTCGAGTCAGGAAACCCGCTGGTGTTCCGATGTAGCGTGGTTCAACTGATCTTCATCGCTTATGGTGATAAGTCTGGGTCAAAAAAAACTTTTTTGCTGTTGTATTGTCTTCTCTAAGTGAGTGAATCGATCGATTTGAGAACAAGAAAAGGCCTTCCGTACGGTTCTTGGTTTCTTCGATCACCTCGGAGGGGGGGTGTTAACCATGTTTGCATCAACAGGATATCCGTAGAACTCCGATGACTTTTTAACGTTCTCTGTTAGTACCCTCTGTAAGGGTGCTTACGAGTGTTGGTCGTAGAGTGCCAAACGAATAAATGTGCCTTGAATTAGTTCAACGAAAATCGTGTTTGTTATTTTCCCATATCCGACAAAACAACACAGCAACATCTTCAACAAAATCGCCGAGTAAGTTAACCTTGGAGCACGGACTTGCATGCCATCTGTCAAAACATTTGAGCGTCTTTTATGTAGGTTACATTTTGTGTGCATGGGTTCACCTTGATCACGTGCACGGCTTGAGTTGATCAGCGGTAGCGTTCTGTGCGCATTTCTCGTTTAACCAACTTCTCCGTTCACATGCTGTTCACCTCATCTGAACTGTTCCACTGAGAATACTCAAATCGAAATATTTTTTGACTCTCGCTCACTACTAATGAATTTTTAAGTTCACCTAGCTAGTATCTGTTTTTGCGATGACGGAGTGTGTTCCACGTTGGCATCCATCTTGCAACTTGTTCTGTTGATTTCATTGATTTCATTGTTAGTCAAGGTATCCGCATTGTTCTCTATATTTTTAGGAAGGAACAGCCTTCGGAGTTGGCCAAATATCCCGAACAGTTGGAATGCACCGCCGAAGAGGTCCGACGTTTGGCCTCTGATGTCACTAAGAACCTTCACCAACACGTCCTATTTAATAAGCACAATGTGAGCTTATTGCTATAGTTGTCTTTTACAAAATAGGCTATGTGATGGTGCCGGGTCCTTTCATAATAGAAGTAGATCAGTAGTACATGCCGCTGTTAGAAAAAAAACGAAGCACTCGTGACGAAGACACCCAAGAAAAAAACGAAAGATAGAAACATTTTAGAAAAGCTCTAAAGCTAAAGGAAAAATGGTCAGCATTAGGATGCTTTCATCTCCAAGGGGTTTCAGAACAAAGAAATCTAAATATTATGTTGGAGCACGGTTCTATTAACGGGAAAAAAATAGTCTCCACGAGCTCTACTCAGCACAAGCTTAGCTTGTGATACAAAATTTAGTTGGGTAGTCACGCTGCGAACCGGTAGCTTGCTTACACCAAGGCTGGTATCGTACCATTTCCTGTAGGGCTTTCAGCTACGGCATGGTCAGCGGCCGGGCAGGGATGAATATTCCACAGTTCTTGGGTTGACACAAGCCAATTTCATATCACATTACCTGTTCACTGCAAACTTAACTTCTGAGTGGCCTCGGTTGAAAGGCATATATAAGCGATAGAATAGACTTGGAAGGGTGAACCAAAGATGGTTTCTTCGAGCCTTCCTCTTAAGGCTGAAATGCATACAGGTGAAGGCCACATTTCTATATGTATTTTTGAACATTATTGTAGGCGTTTATGTAGTATTCGGCGTTTTCCTTTGCTAATTATACAAAACGTAAATTTGGTCTTTGTATCGTGATCTTCGGTAGACATTGTGGCTAGATCTCAAGGAACAGGATTTCCTGCTACCGAATAGCCGTTCTGGTAGTTTGTACATCTTTGTGACTCATATTCTAAACAGGCGAGCTTCTTCTCCACTTATTGTTCTCAGTCTTAACCAAAAGGTCGTTCCTAAGGGCACTGGTGTTACCGGGATTTTGTCGGCAGTTTTTAAGGTACACAGAACTGTTGCGTCTAGTTCATGGCTCCAGCCGAATGCAAGTTATGTGTTCTCACATTCTTTTTAAACAGCTGAAAAACCACTAGATGTATTCAAGATATACATATCAGTGCACTCCCATTTAACTAACAATTTATTTGGTATGTACTGGAGTAGTTCTAGTGGATGCCTTCGTATAAAGGCTACCTTTCTGCAAAGGAAGGAAACAAACCAAGGTGAATTCTATGGAAGTCGGAGGTACGGTTTGGCGGTAGTTTATAGCGGTTTGCTAACAATAGTTTGATACTCTAAGAAGAAATCCTTTCGGGTGGCATTAGAATGTTTGCTCCATGATGGGGTATCTTTGGAGAATGGTCATTAAGATCCATTTGATTAACGAAAATCCGGTCATGTGTGTCCTCTCTTGAAGGAAAGATAGAATTTAGTACGTTAGTTGCTCTTTTCAATTTTATGATGTTGCGACTTACCAGGTTGACGCCGCTGACTAATTGGTAATCAGCATTGAGACGAGTTGCATTTTGCACTTCCTTGGCTAGATCCCAAGGTCTGACCTGTCCTTATGTTGGTTCCGGTTTTCGAACCTTCCTTGCCAGTTGGTCTACACCCCAAAACACGGAGTTGTAGGATATGCACAGGAACTGATAGCATGAATACCAACGAGATCGTTTGTCCGCCATAATTTGCACTGGTGGCAGCAAAGCTCGCAGGTGACCACCCACACACATATACGTCCGGCACATTCGGGTTATCGCAGGTTATTCCCTTCGGCTTCTAATAAGCGCCAAGCTTCTTGTGGACAGGGTTTCTACACCCAAATTGGCGATGAGGACGAATATCCACATTCGCATGTTTGGATCAGTCTTCTCTTGCCACTATGCCGACCGATTAGGGGTTCATCGAATGCTATGATGACGATGTGTCAGTCAGTTTACCTGTCTTTTCGATGGGTCTGGCAAGAGAAATTTTTATTCGAAAGTTCTCATTGAATTGCGATTTTTATTTTTACATATAGTGACGGTAGCCTTTTTTCGCTGATTAGAAGAAATCAGATAACACAGGAGACCTCACACCTAAAATCCCCAAGTCCCACGCTTCACCGTTCCCTTTCAGCATGTCATCAGGAATGTACCCTTCTTACTATTTAATTTTCGTTAGAAAAGAAACTTGCTGAAATTGGACAACAGATTATACATGTTGGATATTTTTCCGACGAGGTAATGTTAATTGATCAAATTCCTAATTCCGCTGTGGCTGGTGATTTAGATTGCTAAGGAGCCCCAAGTAAGGTGGACATTAGAGTCTATTGCTTTCATCCCAAATGTTACCTAACCAACGTGTTGTGATAGATGAGCTGTTCACTTGAGTATGAAGCGGATATGGGCTGGACGAAATCCCCTAATTGCTCAGCATCAATCAGAATTAGTTTGTTGCAACAGTTCATTCTAACGACATTCCACTGTGTTCTGGTTTCAGAAGAAGACGCCGGAACACAGACTGGTTTTGGGCTTGAAAGAGGCGGTAGAAAAATCCGGTGGTCAAGGCAGCCTATTTCAGTGAGTTTTCTTATCACGATCGTGTGGAACGTCGTTCTTTTACATTTTCGCTGCATATCCGTCGATTCGTCTTTCTTATGTCCTGTAGCCGATAGTAAACCACATGGAAACTAGAATTGGAGGTGTGTAATTTCTCCGGATTGGTTGCTTATATACGGCGCCGTACACCGACCACTTTATTTTTGTGACAAAAGGAGCTAATTGAACGTTCATGAGTTTTGCCCCCAACCCGTTACATGCAGACCATAATACTGAGACCCACATGCGTTTATACTACTGTAAGAAACCAAAGCATTCCAGTCAGTATGTAACTTCTCTCGAAAATAACCTCCACGCCAGTCGCGTGTCTTGGCGCCCGCTTTTTATAAGGGACAGAGGGGGAATCAGAAGCTAGCTCCTTAATCATCATGTTTTGTCGGGCTGCACTGTCCATAGATTTTGAGACACGGGAATGATTTAGTTGTTAGGAGAAGGGCTAACGGTGTTGGCTCTTTGGTTTTGACGGACCAGTTTTTGTGAGTCTGCCTTGTGGTTCATTTGTTGCTGGGATCCCTATCGCGCACACTGTATGTCGTATCGGGTGGTAGTAGTGTGACGGTGATACTACTGATGGGGAGGCATGCGAGTAGTAGGTTTTGTTGCAAATTCGCTTTGCGTCTCTTGAAAAGGGAGGTCTGTTGCGGAATTTGTGGAGTCGCTTTGTAGCATTAGCTTGGATTCGAGCAATGGATGATATGAGTCAACGAATATCCAGGGAAGTTCAAGAAGACGCGTTCGGGAGAAGATGGATGTCCAGTTTTTGTAAATAAGATGCAAGTGAGAGTTTTGCTTCCCTGTCCAATAGTCTGTAACTGGTCAGTTGGCACTTTCTAATAAACAACCCCGCAGCGAAGGCCCTCTTCCTTTCAGTAGTAGTATTCCAACCAGAAGCGCAACAGAACCATCCAGTTCCACTACCACATTGTACTTTACCTAGGGCTTCCAATTTGTTTATGAACTGTTAATTTATCCGACTGTTGCAGTAAGCTTCGAATTCTTTGAGCTGCATTTTTATGGACATTCTTTTCGCGCTCACTGGCGATCCAAGTGCGCGGGACTTCCTTTTTATGAGTTCTTTGGATTCTCACTGCGTTCGCAATTTACGTATGTCCCCGACTCGACTAGCACGGAAACATTGTGGCTGTGACACACAGGTACATATGTGTATATGTCTTCTGGACCGTTTCAAAATGTGTTTCTCCATCGTCCTTTATGTTCAGGAATGTCTTGCAGGAAACCACTGATGTTCTCAATACTCTGGTCACTGTTCGTGGAGACTTTGAAACCAGACTGGAGAAGGACATAGTCGATTCTTTGAACAAACTGAGCGAAGAAGTGTGTGCTTCTATTACCAAGGCTAGACGTAATCTAAACAAGGTGTCGAACGAGACACGGTTGGTTCGGGAGCAGCTTCTCAAGGCGAATATTTCCGGTCAATCTCGCCCCGCAGATGTTCAGTCCAATAGTTCTGGTTCTTCAACAACGTTAAACGCAGACTCGGACTCATCGCGCTTGACTGCACTTCAGAACCAGGTAGATGAAAAAGAGCGAGAACTCTCCACGTGTAAGGTTAGTTGTTACCGTCCAGGCGATGGGCCTGCCTTTTTTTCGGTTTTTACATAGCTAAAGCCGCTGTCAAGCTTCACCTTAACCGTGTTTTCGTTACATCTGTTTTTTTTTCGTTGACTTTTTTCACGTTGCTACCTGAATCATGTGTTTAAACACGTGATATGAAACAGGTACACGCGAGATGATGGGAATCTTGCGCGGATTTCTTGTTTATTTTCTAGGAGCTGACATAATTTAATACCACAGCTGAAGGTTAAGCGTTTTGTAGCGACAGTCAGCCAATCGGCAGTCACTTCAGGTCAGCTCCGTCACTTTCCCTCGTTGAATGTTATCTACTTGGTGTCAGTTCTCTGAGATCAACCGCTAGCTCTTCTCCGATTAAGCACACGTGAATGAGCTTCTAGGGTAGTGGGTAAGTAACTCCTCTGGTTATCCGTTGCAGTTTAGGCAAGAGTCCACCTAGAGTCCGAACGTCGTTCCTTATTACTGTCTCTTTGCCTTCGGGTATTTTATATAGGAACTTCTGCTTCGCGAACTGTACACGTTTGCTGCCCAGGAAGACACCTATGCATTGCTTTTAGTGAAATACCTGCAGTTTCAAGAGGCCTACCTAGAAGAAAGCCTGCAACTACTTCGAGGACGAATTCCTGAGCTACTCACATCCATCCGTGAGTATTCTAAATTTGTTGTTAGCAGTCACTTCTCCTTTTTTTGAATGAATATTTCATATTTGCTTTGGAGCGGTGAGTAGCGGTCCTCCTCAAATACTGTTATACTGTAACAAGACCGCTGTCCCCGTGATGAACACGATGGTGGAATAGGCGTTTTTTGCATATCCTCGGTTCCTGAAGATTGACCGTTCTAATTTACAAACTGATCGAAGCTCCGTTTCGGCTAATGATTACGCATATTTCTTGCTTTCTGAGCAGTTTTATCCCCTGGCTTGCTTGACCATTATTCTAAAGCAGCCGTCTGATAGCTGTTGGTCATTGCTTTATTCTGAGGTTTCGTCGTATCGCTCTCTTCTTCACAATATTGTCGTGAATATTGTCCTTGAGGTTAGGTTAGTATTCTACTGGGACTGTTTTTTCATGCTATCAATTTTTATGAGGAACTCCATGTATCTAATGCTCCTTCCAATCAGAAAATGCGAAGCCTACCAACGTTTTCGGTTGTCACCTAACCAAACACCTCTCGCAAACCGGACGGCAACTATCTTATGTTCTGGAGACATGCATCAACCGGCTGAACACGGAAACTGTTTTGCAGGAAGAAGTAAGAAAATTTGTTGTCTCTACCCTCGATCTGCATCTCAAACGTATAATTGCCAGTTATCATTCATTTCAGTGGAGGTTCTTCAGAGAATAACTTTCCACTGTATTCTTGGGTGGAATAACTATGACGTTGAACGGCATACCTAGTTAATGTTTGAATCGATGTTGCAAATGGACGTCTTTCTGTGCGTACTTTTTTGTCCTGTGTACATGTGTCGGCGCACTGGAGTCTTTCATCGTATCAGTGTAATGCGAATCTGGTATGACATTAGGACGTTTTCTAAGAAAGCATACGGACCATATACTACAGTTTTTGGTTGTGTACATTGTCAACATGGCAAGAACACAAACAAACCTACTCTGACTTTCAGGGCGGCACCTCCAGCCAACCACGCATTGTAACAAGACAGCCGTTCAGTACGTCTATGGTAGATTTCCAGTACTGGAATCATACCTGGAATTGATGTTACCGCATCAAGCTTGGCAGTATTCGGATGCGGTTGCACTACAACGTTCCCTCAAGTGATAATCAGGCGGACCTGCACTAAAAATTCCTTGTACTTCTGTCGATTGGTTCAAACTGTTTGGAGACAGGCATTTGAAGACGACATCTGAGATAGCTGCAGCGTAGAGTTGCTTGTGCTTCATGGATTGCCTCCTCTGTATTACGTTATTAGTACAGTAATTTTCAGGAGATGTTTTTCGAAGTGAGCTCACCCATGGAGGTCCTACACTGCCCCCCACGTCAATAATGATTTAGCTCCTTTATCCAAAGAGAGAGCATTTCCAATGGGAACAAAAACGCCTGTTCTCTGCGATGTTCTTTCTTCTGGGAGGGGAGATATCTTCATATATTGACTTTGATCGTCGAAGGCTGTTCATTGAATTTCGCGGTGGTTCGTTATAAAACTGCACGTTTTATCGGCTTGCAATGGAGTGAAAGGTAAGATCATCCTTTCTCGTTGTGATTGCATCTGGATTCGGTTATCTCATTCTACCGAAACAGACCCCTGTGTTCACAGATTTGCGCACCTTTTTACCGACAGGTGGTGTTAACGTAAAGTCCCAATGGAACTCTGAGTTATGGCGTTTTTCAACTGCAGACTGCCTCTAGCACCCAGTTGGATCAATATCCAAGATATGACAGCTAGGCATCGCACCCGAAGAGCCTACAGACTCAGGACCGGCGAAAAATTGCGCTCTGCATGGAGGCGCTGTCGCTCGGAATGCAGCCTGTTTCTCGTAATGCATATTTGGGACCTAGCTATTTCGCTCTTTTGGATACATTTTTCGGGGACACTTTCCTGGGGGGACGGTACTGTGTTTCCACTGACACGACATACCACTTTATGACTGACCAAGTCTCGTTGACAGCCCGCAATCGGTCCAACTAGGCCTTGAGGTCGCCTCTAAGCTGCACGTTCGGTCGACTGACGCCAGTTTGCAATTGAGTGCATAAATGCTCGTATGCCTAGTTCTTAGTGTGCACGTAAACAACAAGATTAGTGAAAACTCGTCAACTGTACCCGTCCGATGAACCCCAAACAGGATGAAACTGGTAATGGGTTATGGGAGAGCCTTCGTCAGCTTTATAAATGTCAATCTACCTTCTAACTCATTGAATTCATTATTAAGGCCAGAGATATCTGAATTATCGTCAAGCCCAGACAAGAAACATCGATTAACCAGATAGAAAGAAGTTGGGCAGCCCTTTTGATCAGGTCTCATCGTCTCGGTTTGGTGATTGTCCGAGTAGTCATGAAGTTTACTTCACAGCTGCAAGAGATATGCAGTTCATTGATTCAAATTGTTCCTTACTTCTCCCTACTTTTCGGTACAGTGCGTTTATGTCTACCCATAATAATGCTCTGCTGATTGTACGTAACCTTTGAGACAGTTTGCAGATTTGTCGGGTCAAGTAACGATGACCTAAAATTGAAACAGTTCGTTGTATTCTGTTGGCACTGTTTGCAGCGATCGCACCAAGGAACGCATCCTAATTCGCTACTTTCCCCCTTGATAGTTTGCTAGTTTCCCAATGTATTCGATCTAAGACAGCTCTACCCTCATTATTGCATCTTCCTTCGACACAGTGTGATGTTTTTATTCTGTTCAATTTCCAGGGCTTGTTTAGACGATCTGGAGCCCATCGCAGAATGGACGTACTTGTGGTGAGTCGTATCCTTTGGTAAATGAAGTTTTGACGTTATTCGATGTCCACCGGATTTTGACAAAAGGTAGCATCTGAATATCTCCAAAACTCTTCGGGGTAACATATTTGAACAGTTGAATTAGGAGACATCGGCACAACTATCTGATCCTACAGCCAAAAGAAAGAGTCAAACGAGAACATCATCTTTAGCACCTTGTTTTCCACCCCATTGTCAGTACTAGCTTTATGAACAAAACATACACTTAATTGTATTCTTTGGTATTTCTCCTGATACTCAAGTTTAGAGACACGCTCCAGGACAAGTACTCTATCGGAACGATTTATCAAACTCGGACTCTGCTCAGAAGTGACAATTCGTAGCTGGTCCGTTGAAGCGCATTTCCAGTAGTTATTCTTCTCAGAAGAAACCAGCTCGTAGAATAGGTAACTTTTACTTGGTTCACTGAGGCGGGCTTTCTGGAGGGAAAACCCGTAGTATAACGTAAGGACATGCGTGCCATCTGCAACTGTAAAGCTCAGCTCCTGACATTTAACGATGAACGTTCCTTCGGATGATTGATGGTTGTGGCTTTCATACCAAAGCTCATTCTGGTTGCAATCTTCGTATCACCAACAAGGTGACTTGTTTTTATCCGGCTATCAGTAGACCAATCCCACGTTTACGAATATTTCTGGGTGGGATTGTATTTAGTTCCTTTGGACCAGCTTTAAAAACTCGGCGATACATCGACTTACAATTTTCACTAGTTGGGCTGCAACTCAGTCACCATGTGGATGACTACCGTTCTGGTATTTAGTAGCTGGTGCATCCAGCACCGTTAATGGTGGCAACTTACTTTTTTTAGCGGCCAATTGCCCCTCAGTAGCTAGTTTGTGACCTTGGCTGACGTTAGTTGACATTGACCTAACTTGATTTTTTGTTTGGGGCCTGGTATATAAAGGTGTCTATTGATGTCCACCGTTCTCTCATTCCTGTTACATTTGGATGATGGCACTTCATTGCTTGGTACGTTTACCTTAAGTTCTTTTTTGCGTATAGGTTTTTGTGGTTCTTCAGCCGGGAAACTTTATGTGATGGCAAAGCACTGGTCTAGATGCTGTTGCAGGTGGTTGATGGTGATGGTACTGAAGAGGAAAAGTAGAAGGCAGTGGTAAACAACGGACTATTCATTTTGGATTCTGTCGACCAAATAGGATGTTCCCATTATTCGGTTGTCTTCTTGGCTGAATTCAAAAATCAACGAGAAACAGTCTGTCGTTTTCTAACCTTCGTCACTCGTAGGTGCATGTTATTGTGAATGATTTTGACGGGGTATTTTTGTTCTCGCGCTTACCGCAGCTTCACCAACCACCATTTAGTGGGAGCTAGAATATCGGAATCATGGTGAATGAACAACTTCAAGCACTGGAAACACATTCCTTTTGGACATATTAACCATATTCACCAGTTACTGCTTCACTTTAAGTACATGTTCACCGTACTACGCTGTATTTCGTACAGTTTGCTTACATCTACACTGTTTTTGTACCAACAATCTTGTTACCTCGAAAAGAAAGCCCTGAATCTGCAGCAAGCCGATGACTCACTTCTTGATGCATGCGATTCCATGGTGATTACCGGGGCACTTAAGCAGTATTTGAGCAGCCTACCTGAACCGTTGATAACATTCACACTGGCAAAACGATGGGCCGAAGCTTCCAAAACGTGAGTTTTCTGTGTTGTTTTGTATGTATGTTTTAGCAGTCGCCATTGGAATTCTTATTGTCGTGCTGCACTGTTTAATGGAGTAGGCGGGAGTCAGTAAACGTTCCGTGTTCAACATATCTGTGGGTTTGCTTGATGACGGCATCTGAAAACGGCACTTATCTCCAACGATATATTGGATATCTGTGTGAGTGCCACTGGTTGCCTGTTTATCATGTTAGTGGAGTTCTAGTGTAAGGGTATGTGTGTGGTGCTTGGAGGCCTAGCAGCTCCATATTCGCTCCTCGTCTGGCATACAACTGTTACCTGTTGCTTGCGTTAGCTGCTTGCATACGGCAGCTTCCACACACTATCTCAATAGATGGACAAAACCAAATCAAGACAAGGTTAAGATGTCAGGACGGTGTCCTAGCGGATGGGAACTGCCGAAGATCAGCCTGAAGATGCAACGACCAGAACGAAGGTAAAGTTGTACGTTGACTGTTGTCCGTCCTGCATGTTGTCGAGTGGTTTGCTAATTTTTAGCAAGTCCCCGATCGCAGCGGCATCCTGCTAACCTGTACGACAGCCAGACGTGCAAAGGCTAGAGATACACACTCATTTTAATGCCAGATATTGCTAGGGGTGTCATTTGTGTAGGATCTTCACGAACCCCCCTAACGAGCCGGCTCGTCATCCCTTAAGAGCCAATTGAATAGTCTTAAAGATGTGGGTGTAGTGTAGGGTCGGTCTAGGGGCTAGGACTCCCGAATTGTCTCTTCAAGACAGTGGTAGTTGAATTCCACTACGATTTCAGTTGGAAGGACCGAAGATGGTCTTATGGTTCTTAAAAGATCTCTTGTTATCCGCTATTGCTCACACTTTCTTTTTCCATTGTACAGTGGACTGAAATTGTGTTGCTAACTTCCTTAAGGGAATGGGGGTGCCTTTGAGCTGAAACAATGCACAACATGCTTGCTACTGCTTTACTATTTGAGCTAGTAGGTTAGGCTTCATTTCAAGACTAAGCGAGTCAGCCAGATACAACAATAATGGACTGCCGACCTGTGAAAAATAGCTTTGATCTGACCGTTGTCGATTGTGAAGCTTGTCAGTTTACTGTGTTAGTTGTCATTGTAGCCAGAGATTGTAGTCAACATCCTCCTGCTTTGAGTATACCCGTTTTCTCTATGCTTTACTCCTTCACAGCCCCGGAATGGCGACGGTGGATGTTGTTGCCAAATGTCTGGAAGACATGCCTGCAGATTTCCGTCTCAATTTGGCCTATTTATGTCTATTTTTGTCCAAAGTCGCTGCATTTTCTAACGTGAACAAAATGACTGCGGACAATCTGGCCATAGTCATCGGGCCGAACTTATTCCGCCTAGAACCAAATGATACCCTTTCAGAAAAAGAAAGTGTGAATGGTCGTCCGTAAGTACTCGTGTCTTTTTGTTCTGAGTGGTTTAAATTTTCATTTTGATGTAAGCACTAACAGTGACAACGAAAGCTTTTTCCTTCTTGGAAAGAGCTAATCTTGAGCTGTGATTCAGTTTGGTGTGAATATGCAATAAAATTATAGCTTATTGCGAACAGCGTACGAATTGAGCCATTGAACGTCACATTTCATCAACCACTAGACGGACTAGACTTATGCAGTGGGTGGTTGATCAAGAGTTGTTCGCTGTCTAAATTTTTTGAAAGCATCCGAGCCTTTTTGCACGGAGATTCAGCAGTCTGGAAGAATCACAAACACTGAGAGAATTTGCGACACTCTAACACGAGGTCAGTCCACGTGGAACGTGGCGCAATACAAGGCTGGCTCGCGGGTCCTCGACTATTCCTTTACTCCATTAAAAACTCACTTAATTACCTCTGTTTATTGGGGATGCCGACGGCAGTTGCTTACTTGGAAGACAACCGGTCGCATCGGACACACTGACGCCACATATACATTTGGTCAAAAAATAAATCCGCCCTCGGTATACACGTGTGTAGCACATCCTTCTTACTCCTTTAGAAGACAACCTATGCAGCATCAAAAGTCTACTTCTGAGCCCGGGAGGAAGAGAGCGGTTTTGGCTTCAGACATCAGTGTCTGACAGGACTGGTTGGTTTTATGTGCGACCAAACAGTGGTGCTTGCTATTCGTTTGGTAAACCATGTACCAAGACTACGTCCGCTCTTGCTGCTACAGTTCCAGTCACCGGAAACTGAGAGAGTGAGATAGATATACTCAGGCTTTGAGGTGATGGCATAATCGTATTGAATCAGTCTGCTTGTTGGAACGAATGAAGGCTACGATTCGAAGGCGACAGCTGTGGTATCATCATCATCATCATGGACAGCCTGACATCGGTGTTAGCACTGATGCTTCGCTGCCGTACAACCGATTTATATGAAAACCTTATTGTGAAGAAAAGAACGAAGGTGGACGGGGAAGGGACTTAGTGCTAGCTTACTACCTGACCTCTGCCTCTCGACTTGCCCTGTCTAGGCTTGGACAACCTGGCAGTATCCCAGCCCTCGGGCTTCCTTCTGGTGGCGTGGCAGCTAGGCACCGAAAGGATGCTACAGCTAAACGATTTATTTATTTTTTCACTACAATCATTCCAAGGTGCCTATACCCCTAGACACTCATTCAGGCAATCTAGACAGAAACTGATAACATAAACGCCATCGACATCGATTAGCGGTCATATTTTGCGGCTTCTCCAGGCAGGCGCAGTGGGGATCACTCGGTCCCCATCCTTGTAGGCGAGTAGTGCCGACAGCACCCAGATCGATAGGGTTTTCGCCAGATGCAGTTTGAACACCGGAGTTTTGAAGGCCTTCGAGCGTTCGTCTCATTATCTCATCGGCCACGCAATTAAATATGAATGGAGGGAGTGGCACCGCTGTCGGACACCGCTTTGTGTACGGAACCTTTTGGGCGTGCTTTCCCCATACTTTCACACTTCCGGAAGTCAGAGAACACGAAGAACATATTATCATGTACTTCCGGGGCATTCCTTGATGTGCCGGCGTGCCAGGTAAAACACACCAGTCAACCAAGTCGAATGCGCCCTGGAAATCCAGGAATACTAAAATTGTGGGTCGTTTGTACGTATAGTATTGTTCCAGCATCTGATGGAGTGTGAAGATTTGGTCAACAAAACCCCTACATGACCGGAATCCTGCTTGCTGCTCTCGAAGCAGTGTGTCACGAGCCACCATAACTTGACAAAGAACAATTGACCCCAGGAGTCTCGTTACAACCCGGGTTAGACTGACCTCCCTGTGGTTACCACCCTCACTACGAGCCCCTTTTTTGAAAGTGGGCACCATCATACACTCCTCAGTTGCCTCGGACAGTCTCCTTTTGTTTAATGTAGGTAAGCAGATTAGACGAGCGCTGACTGAGGATTTCATTCCCATCTTTGAACAACGCGGGTGGGAGGTCATCTGAACCAGAGTCTCGCTGGTGCTCGAGAGAACAAATGCATTCATAAACCTCCGAGGCCTTGGGGGGAGGCTTCACGTTCAGTATCCAAGGTTCTACGTCAACTGTGGGCTCTAGCTGAGTGGCAGCTGTTGGTCACGGTAGCTGTTGTTCGGAATATTCGGCCTACCGGTTGAGGCATTCTTCTCTATTGAAGATTGTCACTCCGTTTTGATCCTTGATGGTTCCACTCACAGGAGACACGGGGGATCGGTAACCGTGTAACCGATTTATGTGTGCCGGTGTCATAAGTTGAGTGCCGGGATCCCCATTCACGGAGATGCACTCGACCAGGTTCACTGGCTAGGGCTTTTATACTTGGTTTCCAAGTCATAAGTTACCAGCCTTTCAATCGCTCCGCGAGGAAGACGGACTTATGACATGCGAAGCGCACTTCATAACCAGTGTAACCTATGAAGCCTGAGCAGGTTGTTCCCCAGGGGAATGTTCTTTCTTCCTGACGTATCTCAGCCTTCCTAATATAATATTGCCACCAGACCCATCCAAATACTGAGACATCGAAGCTGAGGGTTTTCGTCCTTCATCTTCGTCTGTGACTCATAGGACAGTATGAATCACATCGCTGCATCACATAATCTGTCTGTGACAGACACAAGGAAGTCACGCCGGTACTGTAGGTCTCGGGGACTGACAAAAGCTGTCTTGGCCTTTCAAATTTGTGTATGTCGATCCCTGAGGTTTTAGAGGCATGTGGAGAAATTTCGAGCAACCTGTCAATGACAAAGTTGGAGAGAAATGCTAAGGGAAGGTAGCCTTGTCTTACGCTATCGAACGTGGTGAAATAAGGAAACAGCTCGCTGTGTACAGTTAGACACCTGCAGGGATCGACGTAGGGTGCCCACGTTAGGGGTAAAACTTTAGAAGGGATACATCTGATTTCCAGGTAATGCCACATTTTCTGGTGGTCTAAAGAGCTACAGAGGAGCTATCGTCTGAAACCATCTCGCTACTCTAAACCTGTCTCAGGGTAAAGGTATGGTTGATACTTTCCATACCAGGAGAAACCCAGTTTAATTCACAATCGATCAGCCTGCGCAAAATAATGCCAGAGAGCACAGATACCACGACTACCGGGCCGGTTCAACGGTGATTTTCACGTGATGGCCTTGTCCCCTTTCTGACATTTGGGATCGCTGTCGAAACGCTCCGTTCCACCAATATTCTTTTTTTCGTTTACGCTGCTCGCCAGCGCTCCACCACTTTTAAAAAGTGGAGAATGCAGACCATCCAGACTTAGTGTTTTTCTTTCGAGAAATAATATCTCGTTTTGAATCTTTGTTATTGATGGCGGGCTGGTCTCGTGATTATAATCAGGCTCGTGGGGTATGTTTAGGGAGGGACCCCAGCTGAGCCGTTCTTTAAAATACTCAATCCATCATCCAAGACGACGATTCTTTGAATGATTTACCATTGCAATATCTCCACAAGATTATAAAAGAGGGATATTTGAGAATGAAAGCTTATTATTCGGTAATTTGCTGCTTCCACGGACTCCCAAAGGCACATAAAAACAATGCCCTTCCGATCAATAGTATCAGTCCCTGGAACACCGTTCTACAATATTTCGAAACAACAATGCAAAAAGTTGAAGGATCCCATCGGCGGATCTCAACACTCGATCAACAATTCGGGACAATTTTTACAGAAACTGAAGAGTGTAAGCGTCGACCAGGATGTAATAATGGTCTCATTTGATGTGAGCTCACAATTCACATCCATAGGTTTCGATTCTGGCAAGACAACTGTGGCCAAATTATTGGATAACTGCCGCATGTCAAGTGGATCTCTGGAGAAAGAAGACATCTGCCAATTACACTTTCAGTCCTTCAGAGAATATTATGCACAACTACAGGGGACAACAGTGAAACCGCCAATATCAGGATTTATTGTAGAAATCACGGTGGAAAAGCCGGATATGAATCCCAAAGTACATGTTCGCCACACTAGCAACACTTGTGTGATCATTAAGAAGGGAACTGCATGGATTAAGGTAACTACTAAACAACGTTTTCAACGAAATCAAATTCACAATCGGAGAGAACAGCTTAATCTGGCATTTCTGGACATTGCTGATCGGACAGTTACAAAGAGCTCTACAGAAAGGCATACTGACCAGATCCTGAGTCAATACAGTAACCATCCAAATTGTCACAAACAACGCTGTATTCGAACACTTTTCAATCAGATCAAGACACATAATCCAAGATTAAAGAAGGAAAACGGTTCCAGAAAAATGGATGCCAAAAGAATTTAATCTGGAGATCACTAATTCAACAGCACTAATTGGAGGCAAACGAGTCACACTCCCATGCATAAAAAAACGATGCTAAAATGACGATAAGGCCTCTACGGCAGCGTAATACGACGGTCGCCCACAAACCCACCAACACCTTCGGGTGGACACAAGCAAAACCAAAAGGATAGTGGGATCCAATAACGTAGAACCATGCCACAACTATACATGAGAAGTAGCCGTTACAATGGAGAAAATAGGGCTGTACAATCAACCAGTCAGTCTGGAGAAGATCAATGCAAATTGGGAAGGGGTTGATCAATGCAAAGCAAGAAACAGTTGACTCAAAGGAACCTAAACCACAGCGCATCGGAATCACAAATGGACCAATGAACTCACAAAAACGCTGTATACCAATTAGCCAATTAAGTTAGGAGATAACTGATAATCTTCAATCGTTAAGCTGACACCATTTCAGTGCCTAGCCGCCGTGCCACACGAAAGAAGCATGAGGGATGGGATACTGCCAGGTTGCCCAAGCCTAGACAAGGGAAGCTGAGTTTCAGAGGTCAGGTTCGAATCACGGACGTTCCGGTCAGTTAATTCATGCTCAGATCACTGAGCCATCTCGCTCCTCGCTGACACCTGCATTCTTTTGGCCGATTAAACGGCTTAAAGGGAGCGGATGCCGTCCGCTGCGAATGTCTTCACCTCTTTGGTCCTTGCCAACTACGAACATTCTCTGTCGTTCTTCAGTCTCCTGATTAGCTGATGTTTGGGGAATCCGCGTACACTGTTGTGGTCGCTGGTTCCTGGTATAGCTTTTCTGACGGCAACAAATTCTGTCGATGGTATGCGGCGTTCATATGATCGAGTGGATAGCTAGGGATCGGCATTACTAAGGGCTGAGATCATAGTTTCTCTCCGTTCTTTTCGCTCGACAACGAACCTTTAACATCAGTGTGACTGCTTTAGCGGTAGCTTTCTAGCCAAACCAGCTCAGGATTGTTGAGCTACTGCAACTAGTCGAAGTTGAAGAACGGATTCGCTCTGCTTCGGCCTGTGAAATCTCGAGAGGAGGCGGACCAATAACCGATCCTGCACAATGGGATTATTGCAGACAGACGGCGTTCTCCAGAAGGAGCATTTTTCTTGATTTGAGGCTCTCCGTCAGCAACTGGCAACGACATGATCGGACTGAGCCTATAAATGGCTTGTGGGTGGTGGTGTTCCTGCAACTTGTAGGCGCTTGTGCTTGGAAGTCTGTATTGGCCAGAAATCGACGGCGTTCAACACAATTGAAAAGATCGCTCTCCATTATCGGTACACTGACTACCAGTTCCGATTGCACTACCTAAATGTGCTTCTTCTGCGTTTAGTCGTCGGTGCTCATATCACCCGTCTTGATGACTATATCCATTCTCGCTAACCGAGGTAGCCGTGACAAATCTTTTTGGAACCAACCTTTCTCAGCTTTGGAACTTCAGGCTGTGGGAGTGTATACCGACACGACAAATAGCGTTTACTGCACCGACCTACATTGTTCTTCATTGAAGCCTACAGCCTTACTGGAATCCGGTCAATTAAAGTGCTTTCAGCCACGTGGCTGAGTGCACCTTCACGATGTGAACACTGAGCTATTGAATCTCTGTCGGCACGACGAACACTGAAGTTACGCTAGAGCAACAGAGTATCAAATGGCGATATCAAAGAGCGCCAACCTGTTCGTGGCACCACTTGCTTGTTCGGAGTGGTGCTGTTGCACGAGAAGACATTTGAGAACCTAAAACAAAAACTGGATGACCATCTGCCCGGATTTTTCTGTCGATGATGCTTAGAGCAATAAATTAAAGCACAAGTATACACATTGTAAAAATGAGTCTGAGACATTTTTTGTACACGTGTACTCTCTGCATGTACAGCTTGAACTTTGTGACGGATTCTCTCGTTATGCTTATCCTTTGTGACTGCGTTCTCTCCAGGTTCACGTTCAGTTTTCCGTAGATGTCACTATAGCAAACGTAGTTGAGGAGCCTCGGATTGAGGTGCTGAGCTAAAATAATTGAGGGAACTGTGAACGTGGACCGGTTTGCGAACAGCACTCGGCGTATCCACTGCCAAACTGACTGTCAGTAGTATTCCCTCATCTCGGCGTGTGTACTTCACTTGCCTGGCTTTATGATGAAATGTGTTTCACCTCGGACCTAGGAACGTGGCCTTGAACATCGTCTTACCTATCTTCGAAACGTGATGTAACACGTTGAGGTAAGGAACAGAGTGCGTGGCTCCTGGAAACCCTAGGACCGCATAGATAAGACAACTGAGGGAACAGTTTTACTGTGTGATTTCGATATGGGTAACCGGACACGTAGACTTTATATCGCTTTTAAGAATCGACTTAGGTGCTGATTCGAGAATGGCGGTTTTTAACCAGCAGCAGCGCTTCAATTTGATGTGATACCAAAAAGAGCAAACTAGAATGTTCACTTATTGATCTAACGACTTCAGATCGGCGGCACTATTGACCAAACAAGTCGCAGATTCTGTATCTGGTGTACTGTATAATTCCGCTTCTGTGAATATCCTGGTGATGTTTGTTGCAGAATCACTGCACTTTTGGCAGTCTCTGGCATACTGCTCGTGAGCATGTATATGACCCCGTAACGAGCACTGTCTGTTGTTTCCACACTGACGGTTCATTGCTTCGGTACTTGTTTACGTTCATGGTGAACTCAGTTGCTCCCTTAATTGTGCATTGGCACACGTCGCCGAGCACTGCAAGATTGCTGCCTGTCTGTTTTTTTCCACAGTATCGGCACCGCTTGTTTGTTTGCGCTTTCTTTCCGAGTGTATGACGACATCAACAACACCAACGCCTACTGTTTTGCGGTCGCCGATTATTATGGCCGTCAGTTTCACGTTAACGATACAAGGACTGCATGGGAGTTACCAAACTTTTGACGGATTAGCACAAACAGTCCGATTTGCCACACTAGCGTACTTCGATCGCTAGGCTTCGTACCTCATTCACAATTGGCTAGAATATTGTATGGGGATGGTCTTGCACATGAACTTCGCCGAAAAAAGCACAAAAAAAACCGTGCAAAGGTTGATTTGTTTTTTACCCCGTAGATTGTGCGAACAGTGCACACACTGTTGTCAATCCTTCGAAATGTAGGTTCGTCGGCTCGATTTCACTGTCATGCTTGGCGAACATGCAACAACCAATGTGTGCTGTTTTTTATCCGCTGGTGTTTTTGACGTTATATCTCTGTACAACATGAGGTAATTGGTCCAGAAACTGGTGAATTCATCGATTGAAGCTGTTCCGTGAGAACGGTAACACCATTTGAATGACGAAGCAGCTGAACAGGCACACACACACACACACACCTACCATGTAGCCAAAAGTCAGAAGCCTAACACACCTTGCTTATCTGTACTGTTCAGGTTAAAGCGATCAGCCTGAAACAAAGGATCGATGACGGTTGTAAATGCATGATTTTGTTGGTGCCTTGGTGCCATCAAATCCAGCACATGTAGGGAGAACTCTCAGTCACCACTCAAGGAAACCTAATGATTTAATTTGACTTAAATTCCATAAATCGTATATTTTTTGCCATAGTTTTCTCATCCCTTGGTTCTCACCTTCTACTCGTGACTTATTCATAATGGAACTGCAGCTGTAGTAGTGGAAGGGACACTAGACGCGAGGTAACGCTGAATCTAACAGTCAGCAGGATGGCCTTGTCCGTGGGATCCATCTTATAATGACTTCGTTACATCATACGGTACGCGCGAATTATTTTCTTTACTTTTGTAGTTTGATAGAAGATTTGCTTGATCGCTGATTGTTTTCATTTGTCCGTTCTTTGTTTCAACCAGCTAATCCTCATTTGTGTTATTTTGACTTCTCTGACTTTTCAGAGGTCATTCATTGGAACTGTTTGGACACAGTGGCGCCGGTATCCACCTGACCGACATATTAATCCAGAATGCAGAGAAGCTGTTCGCGAAGGATAAAGGTATGCTGATCCCCTATTCCAGCTTCCAGTTGGTAGTTGTTCTGATTGATCCACTGTTTTCCTGTGATCTTTAGCTGGCATACTTGACATTGCACGACCCTACTATCATTTTGAACATGTTCCGATGTCCCAACCTCATCTGGGCCAGTCTAGTGGGGGACTGAATAGCTGCTTAACGCCATGCAGCTATTCAGCCGTTCAGCAGCGACGCTTTCTAAACAATCGTTTTCTAAATTTTGTTTTCGTAAAGAAGTTCAAATACCATGTGCGAAACACGGTTCTTGAGTGAACCGCATATCATATTGTAGTTGAAAACGTCTCCTTCAAGGCAGAAGTGATCCCAAAGAAAATTTGAGTTATAATACTCCGTACCATACGTTTCTCTATCCCTTCTCGTTATTCCTATTCGTCACTTCATTAGAGCATTTCGTCGCATATTCCGTTGTTCCATATCTACTGTTTTAGGGAACCTACCTTCTCTGATCACTGCCCACACAATTGGACATAACCGAAGTGCATCTGCTACGACCTTGAGCGACATGAAGCCAACAAAACCGCCGGAATCCTATCGTAAACGTACCGAAAGTCCTGATGGCTTCCGGCCACCCAGACCTCTTGTTATTCAGCCGCATTCGGAGGCTAACGAACATGAAAATATCGTGGTGCAGTCGAGCTCGGAATCTATCCACTATGCCAAGTAATGGTTTCAGTGCACCTCAATACTCTTTAGCTTTTTTATCAGGCGGCTTCGTAGTTAATTAATTGGTTAACTTATTGTGATGACCTAACGATCAATAGCACTCATGATTACGCGAGAATCGTTGAGAAGTCTATATTCTGGTCGATATTAGATGCTCGTTAATACCTCTTTTTAGCCAGAATAGACTACTCTCGGTAGCTTTTGTCATGAGCGTTTTCAGTGGGAAATACTATTTTATAAAGCTTTTTGGAGTGATCAGTGTAACCACCATTCAAGAATGTAAAGAAAGTCATTGTAAAGCCAAGCACAATTGTTTAGAAACTATAGCTTCGGTTATTCCTAGGTCCAACATATCGCTTTCAAAATGTGATCTTGAGCGATGCTTCGCTGCTCCTGACATCTTAAAGCTCCGCTGGCAGACTACATCCAGCACATCTGATCTGGAATCCCCAATTTAATGTTTGATGAAAGTAACCCAAAGGTAGTCACGTTACCTAAGTGATCCTACAGACCATTTCAGAAGCCCGAACAAAAACGATATTTTGCGGATAGGTAGTTCAATACGCTTCAAAGGCCTTGTAAAATTGACCTCTTGTGAGGGATCATCATCATCATCAAAGACAGAAACATCAGTTTTGGCACTGATGCTTCACTGCCGCATGAGGAGTGTTCTCTGTCGAAGGGGATAGCTCCATGTTGAAATGTCTTTACAAGCAACTTACTGTCGGCCACTTGTGGTGTGGCGCATCAACCACAGCCATCTACATAGTTCGTTGTGGCAGAGAAATCCAGAATCTGTTGTCCGCCGTATTATTTATGTGTCCATACCCGTGCAACTCTAGTGAGGGTAGAAGAAGTTTGGTATCTTGCCCATGTTATTATGAACACCATTTCTGGAAATCCCAGCAATGGTTCGTACAACTCATTCAAAACAAAACGAGAGGAATAAGAATCTATTTGAACGGTTACTTGTATACACCACTGAGCTTTCCGTTTGCCTGTCTCACGAGTGGAACAACTCAATCTTCGCGCTGACTAATATTCCATTATGTCCCGATTGTGATAAGTTCCTGTCCAAGGACAGTTTCCGGTTATTTAAGCTTCCGTAGCTAAGTCTACTCAGGCCATTTTATTGTTCGGGAATGGTTGTTTACCTGACTAGTTGGGCACAACTTGACTGCAAGTAGTATCATGCAGTCAGAACAAATGAAACAACGGGTATTTTGACTTCGAAGGAGAACTTACTGTGATTGTTTTTGGCTGCTTGGCACGTGAATGGGGCCGGGAGTTTATACCAGCGATCCAGTGGCTGTAAATTGGCTTTTTCATAACTGGAATACCTATATATTTCACTGATCTCTCCTCTGAATTCGACAGAGAGTTCGCAGAGCAGTGATCAAGCTCGGCAAAAGATCAGTAGCCAACAAACGCACCTGGGTAATCAATAGTTTGGCGTACTCCTGAACAGCAATACACATTGGAGTTCTAGTATGAGTTTTCAGTGACTTGCAGGTAGCGATATTTGTATGCAGTTGATGCACCCGGTGGATGCGATGCTCCGCTTCGACCAGAAAAAGCGATCCAGGTGTGCACTGGAACCAGTAATGATAGAATTGAATAACAAGGACAATAATTCTGCTTTAAATTTGCTTTCAATTCCGAGTCCAACGTGGATTGCATGACGAGACATGGCCTAAGTGGTACGATTGCATTTTGACACTTGGGCCTCCGTGACCGGACTGTTTCTCTAGCATGCCACCTGCGGGTTCGCCGCAACTGTCTCCGAAAGTCAGGTAAATTTAGAGTCTCATCCAAGATACATTGTTTCTGTGGAGCTGTTTGCGCTTTATTAGAAACAGAGTGCCTATCATTTTTTCAAGGTGGTGATAGGCACGTTTTAGTAACAATCTCATCAGGTGGTGGATTCGTCTGAAGGAATGGCAACAGGCAGTGGATCTCGGTGGCTAGATGAGATGTACGTTAGTTGTGCGCCCCTCAGAAAAGCACAAAGGAAAGCCGCGAAATCGTTCAGCTGTGGCACCCTTTTGGTGCCCAGCAGCCATTCCACCCGAAGGAAGCGTGAGGGTTGAGAAACTTCCAGGTTGCACAAGCTTAAACCGTAGAAGTGAAAATGAAGAGGTCGGGCTTGAACCATAGACCTTCCAGTCAGTAAATTCGTGCTCCAACCAATGAACCATCTCGCTCCAGAAAGCCACAACAGACGGGTGTATGATCACTGTTCAGAAGGAGCAACAATCAGTGATTCCTGCACTTCACAGGTCGCTGATGGCGGTGTGTTTGTTCTCTGCTCGAAGTGTGTTTGTAAGTTGAGGATTTCATGTGGCCGGTTATTTCGAGAGGAACTCAAGTTTCCCTTCCCCTATGATGCTCTCTTTGGGCGCTAACCGGGTTTGTTTTGTTTAGTTTATCTTATGTCAACGCATCATGTAACATTTCGCTTCTTATTAGTCTCTGGTGGTAGGTAGCAAACTCGTCTTTTGTACAAGGGTTTAAGCACACTCTGACTGGTCTTCCCTCATTTTTGTCTCCCAGTTACTATCAAACTTCTTTATCTTTCAGGAACGTAACGCCCGGGTCTGCTCGTAAAAAGTCCGCAGCCCCAAGACCACCTGTCCCTCCACCACCGACCTCAAGCCCTAACCAACCTGCTTTTAAACCGGAATCCACCGCTCCCACGATTACTGTGGATCCTGTGGAAGCTGAAGAAAATTCGCCACTAACGCCGGCAGGCAACGTCTTAAATAGTTCACCCACGATTGCGGTAACTTGTGCGGGTAATTCTGTTTCCATCCCCAATCTCGGCACTCCTAAATCACCCCAATCAAACGGACTGCCAGTCCTCAAAGAACAACCAAAGAGACCTCCACGTCCTGCATCGGTTTATCAGGCTCCGTGCGAACCCCACCCACCATGATGTGCACAGACCACTTTCATCCTCTTCCTCAAGATAGTTTTTAAAGAACACTTTTCACATCTCGTCCCAACCAAAATCTGATATTGTTTTTTTTATACGCCACGCGTTTCTGTATGTAACTTGTGCGGGTAATTCTGTTTCCATCCCCAATCTCGGCACTCCTAAATCACCCCAATCAAACGGACTGCCAGTCCTCAAAGAACAACCAAAGAGACCTCCACGTCCTGCATCGGTTTATCAGGCTCCGTGCGAACCCCACCCACCATGATGTGCACAGACCACTTTCATCCTCTTCCTCAAGATAGTTTTTAAAGAACACTTTTCACATCTCGTCCCAACCAAAATCTGATATTGTTTTTTTTATACGCCACGCCGTTTCTGTATTCCTTTCTCCAGTGTCTTTCAAAAGTCACCAAGCTCCACAGATTAGGTTGTTTTCATTTTTCCATCGGTTTAACCGTTTCAAAATGCACCAAAATGTTTTCTATTTGCTTGTCTTCGATAAATAGGTCACCGCATTGTGATTTTGGAATATCATTCCTCGCAAAACAAGTATTTCTACGTGTGTGTTTGATAGCAGTGGACAACCGCAACTTCTTTTTGTCCCGTTCGTACCACCTTATTAACTTCCTGCTTACCAGTCGCCACTTGCAAGTGGTCGGAATCTGCTCAAACCATTGCTTCATTGTCCTTACTTGTTGGTAACTATATTTTTCTAATTATTTTTGACCATGGAATTTGAATCCACAATACACTGTGTGATGTCAGTTTGCGTCCTCATTTTTTGAGATACGGTCACTGTTAGCGATTTTGCGGAATATAGGTAGCCCCCTTGCGATGCTTGATTGTTGGCCTGTTCGCCGAGCATGGTAGTTAGATGGCAAACGTGTCATCACCAATCGAGATGATATCGTCATTGCGTGGTTGAATTGGTCCTAATCACTTCCGCGCTAACGATGGTTATGGAAAGTTGGCAATCCAACTGTCAAGGTCGATGACTATTCATCGTCCACATCGACGCCACACATAGGTGAGATCAGTTACATATTTTATACGATGATGAATTTCAATAAGAAATCACGAAATTCTGGCAAAGATTGGTTGTTATCTTCCTTGCGAACCTGATAAAAGCAACGCTAAACCGAATACGATAAGCTTTGTGATCTAGGGAAGTAATCAGTTCCGTAATGAACTCGTTTTGTTGGCGAAAGGTTTCGCGCCCCCGTAGCATGTGTGCTATTTCCACGATGTTTCCCGTTTCGTTTTAACAGTAATCACTTGGGCTTTTGTGGAAGCATTCCAAGTAAGAAGATTCTAAGTTGGGAGAGGTTTGAGACAGGTGATAATAGCCGGTGGCGGTATTAGCACTCCACACTTCATGCCTCGAATAGTGAACAGACAAAACAGATTATCTTGACATTAGCGTGTACGATATTTAATGCTTCCAAAATATTTAGGGATTGCTTTGGACTGTACACTTCCGTGCCATAGCGTGGTAGGCATTGTCATGTTTCTGCTTCTGTATGGTTCTTAAAATCCTCATTCTAACCTTAACTTTTCGCACACCGCATAGCATGTGACTCTCGTGCGTGACCTTCCGCCAACGTGAATTTAGATCGATCGCTCAACAGTTATCGACTGGAGGTTTGATTCTCCATAACATGTTGGCTGTGGTGAATCGGCTTCTTCGGACTTTGATGGATGCTTCTTATTCTTTTTCATCCAGCTGTTTTAGCATCACCGGTAACATGAATATACTGCATTTCGCAATCCCTTAACCAAATGTCCCTGTGGAAGAGTACTCCTCAGAGTTTGATTAATTGGTGTACAGATGATCATTCAGATGGACATTCTCCGACTCAAGTGTTCCGCTCGCCCGAAGAATTACATCTTTCATTCGAGAGTACGGAACTACTGATGGACAATCGGCATGAAATTTCGGGTGAAAAAATAGTGCAACGTTTTGTACGGTCCTCACGCAGCGTACCTCCTTCCCCTGTGCTTCTAACCAGTCCAAAACTCAAACTTCGGTCGCGAAGATCCAGGACTCTGCTTAGTCGAAATTGGGATAGGAATAATTCGACGAACTGTGTAGCATTCAGGGATGGATCTCCTACATATTCATTCATACCTCCCGCGCGTCACTCTGAGTCTTCTACATCTCTCACACCAAGCTCGAATTCTCACAGTGAAACATTTACCGATCGTCCGGATTCTGTGAATTTTCGTCAATCTACTGATAGCTACAGTAGCCGATGCCATTGTTCAAGGGGACGAAGGGCTGTGCACAAAGTGAGGAAGGCCGATGCATCTTACGGGCATCATCTAAACGAGTCCTTTTCTTCTAAAACGGATTTTTTATCCTGTGGAACCGAAACGACACTTAAGAACAATCAAGATCTACCTTCCACTACAAAAGATCAATCAGGTTCAAATGTTAACACTGCGACTGGATTGATTCAACAGTCAAAACCCTATACACAACTGTCATTCCTACAACTTAATAAGTATGCTGTGGATGACTGTTCATCCTCTGTAATATGGCCAACTCCAGTCCCAGTCAAATCCGTTAATACCAGTCAATTTACAGGTGTTGATTTTGAAACCATAGATGTGTTCAAATATCGGAGACAGTATCCTTCGTTGCTGGGGTGGATGCGAAACTACTTGCAATATTTCGGTCAGCAGGTTTCATCTTATAGCAGCCTGCCCGCGAAGCCGATTGCTTTACTCACAGAAACCTCAGACAGCTTTATACAAGACGTACTGAGAAAACGGAAGAAAAGAATGGAGTCTTTTACATTAACTGAACAAGGAAAATTTACAAGTAGCTCCATGGTGGAGATAGATAATGCACCAAACTATGATGTTCAGCGAAACCAGTTGTGGAAGAGGCGCTATCATAGCCTCCTAAATGCTATCGATCTGGTTTATAAAGACCACCAACTGTTATATTACGTTTCTCGTGAAGGTCTCTTCGAGTGTGTTTCAACCGTACCCGCAATTCCTGCTATACCGTTCCCGAGAGGATCCAAGTTACCCACACCCCAAACGTTGCAATCTCACACTCAGCTGTTTAACGAAGCAACGGTGAATGCGGATCCAGCCGGTCAGCTCTCGGAGCTTGTAACGCAGTTGCTAATTAGAATGGGTATTCAAGAAACCCGACGAGAGGGCCTACATCGCTTGTGGCCATGCAGTTTCCTCATATCCGTTGGGTTCCTCAGTGACGTAATTGCTCAGCGGCGAATTCTGCGGACTGACTTAGACCGTCGTTTAGCTTTACGCGACAGACTTCTATACGTACTCCGACAAGCCAGAGAGCAACGATCAATGCTCAAACAATACGCAATGAAACAACGTGAGCTTCTGACGACATTGACCGATAAGCTTGAGATTGTTAGACGTCGACACTACCCTGTGTCACCGATTCAAGACCAACCATCCTCGATTGATGATGGTCTTGTAAATAATATCGATAGTCCATTTATCGATTGTGGTAATGTGGAAAGTGAACTGACCAACCGAATTTCACTTCCGATTGAAAATTCCCCTGAAATCACTGAGCCCGCTAAAACAGACTTGGATTCAAATGACCAACAAGGTTTTGATTATCGCCATCGCCGTTCTGAACTTCAGCAACAAATAGCTATTCTCGAACGTGTTCTAAAGGAAGAAGAAACTCGTCGGAAACGGCTACATAATAGAATTCAGGAGCTGACTGGGAATATCCGTGTTTTTTGTCGCCTTAGACCTGAGGACTCCGAACTCCCTGGGAAGGGGGATAGCACCAACCCACCGAAACCCTACTTACGCGTAAGCTCAGACGACAAGTTGCTGTTCTGCTCGGAAACGCTGAGGGAGCTACTTCCTACACAAAGCCGTGCTCCATGGAGTAAAACAGGCTGTGCCGCTCGCACTCTTCCCAATACTGCTGTTACGACTACTCTTGGCGGTGTATATGCAAACATGGTTGGGTCACCAAAATGCTTCATTTTTGATCGAGCATTCGGTCCAAGTTCTACACAGGATGATGTATATCAGGAAGTGGATGACTTAATTGTTTCTTGTATTGATGGATATAATGTGTGCATCATGGCCTACGGACAGACAGGCAGCGGTAAAACCTACACCATGATGGGTACACCGGATAATCCGGGTGTGAATAGACGGGCTATCCGTAGCCTTTTTGAACGATGCAATAAACGCAAGCAATGGGCCTATTCCATCTGGGTGAGTATGGTGGAGATATATCAGGAAGATGTTTTTGACCTACTAGGAGATGCTTTACAAAAGACGAAATCAGCTGGCAGCGAATCCAGACAACTCAGTCCATCTAGAAGCCAATCGACCAGTCGGGAACAACAGCAAGTTAACAGTGGTACCGATAAATGGAAACAATCCGCACCGCGGAGTAGTTGGACCAACCGTCCCAGCAGTTCCACTTTTGGTTTCAGCTCTGGGCGACCAGTTCGTCGTCGTGGATCAGTGCGAATAATGTCCAACAATCTGGATGGAGTTGTCCTGCAAAATCTCCTAGAACGTGAAGTACACAACGAACAGGAGACTTTCCACTATTTGGAGCTTGCAGAGAAACAACGTCGAGTTGGTGCTACTCGACTAAATATCTGTAGCTCAAGGTCCCACCTTGTGATTCTGTTAAAAATCAATGGTGAGAACAAATTCCACTTGACCACCAGTAGAGGCAGTTTGACACTAGCCGATTTAGCTGGGTCAGAAAACGTGACCAAGTCAGGCTCAACGGGTGAACGTTTCATAGAGGCTGCGTGCATCAACAAATCACTCAGCTCGCTTGGACGTGTGTTTGATGCCTTAAGGCGCCAACAAAAGCCGGCGTATAGAGAGACCAAACTGACTTATTTGTTGCGACCGAATTTGGGCGGTGAGTCGAAGTGTCTGCTTTTTGTCGCTCTTCGCACAGAACCAGAGCATGCTGAAGAGACATGGCGTGCGATTAATTTTGGCCAGGGGGCATTGCAGGTGGTTCCCGGTGGAAGCGATCCGAGCAAGACACGCGCAGGAGACAACCAACATAGCGAAGCCTCATTGCTCTCCTCGATTAGAGCCCGTAGAACTGCACACCCACCCTTGTTTCGCTGCATAGCTCCGAACCGAAAGGTGAAAGAAGTTCGTCAGGGTAGTAAATTGTATTCTGGAGGGACTGGCTACCTTCCACAAGCGGTATACAGTATGGGACCAGCAATCACAAAACAAGGGTGGAAGTAGCTTCGAAGCCCACCCATTTGATGAAAAGGTATTGGTCACCTGAATGGGAGATTCATGTTTTTATCCGGACAGCTGCTGGACTATTCTGCCGGACAAGTACTGCATCACTGCTCTGAAAGTGCGTTCCTTGTGTACTGTATTCAATGTACATAATTCATCCATTTTCACAGGAATCCCAAGATGTCCAGGTCGCACTGTCCTTGTCATGATTGTCAATGAACTTCTTTGGGTTTGGGCCGATACAGCGTCTCGTTGTTTGGTAGAAATGGTTGGATTGCATCTGAAACAGATCCATCAGTGAACGGTGGTTTGCTCGTTGAATACCCGTTTGTCGTTGAGACAACACGATCAATCCGCTGGAAACTGGCCTTTGCTGCCAACCAGTCGGTAATGCCATAGTAGATGCGTACGATTTTTGAAGCACGTTTCCCTCATCTTCGTCCTCGCTTCATGACTCAGTATAGCAACGTTGGTTCGGTCCCGCAGGTACATTCACAGCTAAAGTATTTCTATATCCTCATTGGTGATGCTGTGACCATCGCAGTCCACTTTAGAACCCGCCTGCCAGTGGAGAGACGTATTGAGCCTCAAATCAACTACATGGACAATGCTTCTGGCATAACTTACCGTAATTTAAGGTGGCTAACTGGTCAGAAGGTTAATCGGTTGGGTAATTACGGTGTTTCATGTAGTGACATGCAACATAAGAGTGCACGTTAACATACTAACGAATACCACAGCATCGAACTCTGGTCACGAGAAAAGAAAAACCACGAGTGACCTTTACTTACCGCTGATCATAAGGTTTTACATGCCAACATGCATGCATATTATAGCTAAACCTGTATGGATGAACCGTTTCGTGTATGACTTATCCGATACAAAACGCACGAAATTTCATCAGGTAACTTGGTCAATATAATCCTCAGAAGGACAAAACATGAGTGAAGAAAGTAGTTTTGCGAGCTGCTAATGACTTTGAAGGTCATCCATGGTTTCCAGTCGCTATCACGAGATCACTTGCAATAAAAGCGATTGTTTTGAGAATTTCTTGTGAAGCGTATCCTCAGGTGAACTATTCCTACATTACAACCAAAGGTGTGAACGGTCACTTGGCGCCAAAGTATTAATTCGATCACGGTTTATGTTTTGTGTGGATGTTGTAAATTAGCGAGGATGGGGGTAAATAAAAATGTCCCCTGTGTAAACTGTTGTTTGGCTACTAGTTGCCGACCAGGTGGCTTTTGATTAGTTTGTCAAGCTCCGTGATTAACTTTCAAACCTCTCGTCACAAAACGAAGAGAGAAGGCGCTGATGACCCATCAGGACGGTTTATCATGAAGGCGTGTCTTCCTATAACGAGAAAACCAATGCGAACAGAAAAATTGTTGGGAACGCAGGACTTGTTTCATCTTTCCCTTCGGCTCTGTTACTCTCAATCGTTACTGCGAATGTGAAGTGCTCCGATGAAAGACGCCACATCCAAGGCTAAACTGCTGGCTAAATTGAGTCAGATCAGCTAGTGGGTTAGTGTGTCAGCTTACATTGCAATACAGGTTGTTTCAAACGATAGTCGGCTCATGAAACTAGGCTAACGATTTAGGGCATTTCTTGTGTCTCCTCCCATTGGAAGATGAATACGCCACTTGGCAGACCAGAGAATGTCCCTCAAAGCATGGGGAGATTCCATTGGTCTAAAGCTTCTCTTTCTAGAGGATCGGAGTATTGTGCGGCGACGTGTAGTTTGAAAACACATTTCTGAACAACTCGTTTGACGCTGCTCACGCGGAGTTGTAAACGGACTGTTTCTAGTAACAATGGCCTGTCAGTGCAAGGTACCTATTTTCAAAAGTATGAAAGCATTGCTTGCAGCAGTTCATCTGTTGAAAACTTTGGATACTAACATCTGTTTTGATGTGCTACGGAGCGCCGATAATTTTTAAGGCTATTAATTTATCTTGAGGAACTTTCTAGATATTCTTGGCCCTAATGATGTTAATCACATTCACCTCTTGAATTCTCAGTAGTTACAACTAACGAAGGACCAACACCTCTGGTTTCGTGGCGCCAGACAAGCTGGCCAAAAAAACTTGTTTTCCGGTATGCACAACAAGCTTCTAGTTGTGGAGTGTTTCATGCTAGCTAGAATTTCACTTTGCTTATGAAAACAATGTACAGCTTATGTTTGAACACTGCATACCGTATCACATCCTGCCTTAAATAGGCACATGTAGCTTAAACTCATCGTGCAAGGGTGCCGACGTGTTAAGACGACTTTGAGACTTTATTACGCTGCTCGGATTGACACACAATCCTCAATCCTTATTTCAGGCTGACTGGTTCCTGGTGAAACAGGATTACGAAGCTAAGTAAATGCAGAAACAAAAAGGTGGAAGTATTTTTCATGAACACCGTGTGTTCACCGTATTCCTTTCTACTAAGGTTCACAAAATATCTGTTGTAAACGACACCTTATAAAAGCAAACAGAAACAATATAGAACAACAGGTAACATACACTAGTATTACAACCCAAGTTCAAATAAAGTACCATACACCTCCAGCTCTCATTGACATAATATTCTCACAAAGACCAACAATCTGAATTGACATGTCAGAAATTGTCGGCTTTTCACGTAGCACAAGCCCATACATTGGTTCAGCCGCCAGTGGCACGCAAAACAAGACACTTCATTAGGTGTCATAATCTAGTGTAATCTGACTATGTACACTGAGGGCTCGACTGGGCCATGTCTGACAATGTCTCTAACCATTGATATGGCCCGTCCCGGGGTCTCAATTTAGGAAGACGGCAATGATCGGCGTAGCTAAGTTTGCTGGTAATGGCTTTGATACTTCGCTGCCGAGTCATTGTTTGGCCACCTCTGGCTCCCTTTCACTCTTCACGTGGTTGTGCGAAAAGAGGCCTTCGAGGAATTCGGTCGACTGGCATACGAAGTACTTGGCCAAGCCAGCACAACCTATGCAGTCCATCTAGCGAGGGTGAGTTGTTCCTCCCGAATACCATTCGACGAACTTCCGGCCAGATTCAGGCAATGCTCTGAAGACATCGAAGGTCAAAAACTGGAAAACGTTTTTACGTCCTCGGCGCGCAGCGGTCAAGTCTCTGATCCGTATGGTAATACGGAGCGCACCGCAACACTGTAAACTCGACCCTTGACAGATAAGCTGATGTCACGCTCAAGCCACAGGTGACGCTGGTTCACAAAAGCTGCTCTGGCCTTCGGATGATTCATAAATGATCTCCTTCCATAATATAAATATAATATCTACCATAGCTCGTGCGTCATTGTTTGCTTTTACTAGGATTTTCGGTTCCAGCAAAAGAAAATTAGGTTGCTGCATAATAAAATTATATCTTCGTTCGTCCTTTCTGGTTTCTTGATTGTCTATTTCTATATAGCTTCACTGGCATCCTCATTCACGAATGGTCGTAACCTACAAACTTGTTAGTTGAAAAACTGGTTGTCGGGCGACAAACTTAGGTTTCCAATTCAACCTTTCAATTCCTTCCCTTGTAACGCCAGTGTTATCCACGGCAGAACATCGTGCAGTGGCAAACGGATGTACTCTGAATATAACCTAACTAGCATTCGATACGTTATTCATTCACAAAGCTCAGTCAAAACTCAGTACTGTACGGTTCACAAATGTGACCCCTACACTGAGGGTCTGAGGATAAACCATTGATTAGGAAGAATTCTAGCTTAATGTTGTTCCTTACGATGTGAAAATGAGTTCAGCAATCATCGGGTGAAAGTCATCCATCTGCTTGTTTGCGTACGGTTCCTGACGTCTTTCGATAATATGGGTTTATTGGTCCTTCTGTGAAGAGAAGTTTAGATTACTCCTGGAGGAAGGGACGTGTCGGAACCGTGGTTAGCAGTAAGTAGCAAAAAAGTGCTGAGTGAGCTCTAGCAATTGTTTGGGAGCTATTGTTATTAAAAGGGTGTGGTTTGTGCTGCTTATTCGATCAAAGCTTGATTACAAAAAATTCGGCAACTGAGGAAACTGCTGGAATAATCAATGTAGGATTGTGAACGACCGAAAAAAGCAAGTTGTAAGGTTCTGATGGGATGGTGAGTGTATTAGTGTGAGTATTATGGCATGTAAACTTGGTAGGTCAGTTATCATTTTTATAAAAAAGATCACCGATCACTTGGATCGTCTGGAAACTAAATTTAAAGCAATTTGTTGGTTATCTTTCAAGTTCTGAGGCCATAATTAAGACAGCAGGTGTGGCATCGTTGTGAAAACAGATGTTGCGCTGCATCTGGACATAGCCCAACTGTTAGAACAAAGAGCTTAGCTGATATGACGGAAGCTGATTGAACTATGATCCATCCTGTTAACGTGTTTTTATAGTAACTGTTTCGATTGTCTTAGAACAAACAGCAGCCGTTCTTTATAAGCATTAATCATGGCTGACTGGCACTCTCTGAGTGTACAGAAAGACGGTTGCAGCGATTGAGTTACTGGTCCTATATAAATACGGAGAAATTAATCCTGAGTAGAGACTGAAGTACACTAAAATTAACTTGGAGTGATTAAAGTTAATCGATTTTTCACTCTCATCCAGGACAAGATACTCCAGATAAGTACTGTTGGACTCATTCAAATGATACAACTGCGCGATATGGAATATCTGGTTGTTTTTCATTGACAAGGCATTGTTCTACACGAGGTGTTTAAACTAGTTACGTTCCAGTCCTAAGCTGTATGACTCACAGGATATTACGTTTATGCGAAAACTGGTTAACGTGGAATTACAAAGAATCTCCTCATAATCATGATTTATATTATTTTGATAAATATGTTCCATCGAAGACATACTCCTTATCTCTTAGGTAGAGCCATTTTAGAAGACCGTATTCCTGTGCGACATCTCTGACCAAGGTTGTAGTGTAGCTGTACCTGAAGCAGAAATGTACATTTCATCGGAGTATGGTGAAGCCAAAGATGAACCAAGTGTACTAACCGTCGCTGACCAATGGGAACATGCTTAGAAGCTGCATCAGCTGGCGATTACAGACTGTCACAATGTATTACCGTTTTTTTCGGTTCTTCCTGAATGACTATGTGAAATACTGGAAACTTTGCCCTTGGAGCAATCATACTGTAATGCCTTAACTATGTTCGTACATTGCACTGTTTGCCATGGGAGCAGAATCCCATTTTCAGCAGTGATCATCAGTGGTGATCATTATTGTAACGAGCAAATTTTTGTTTGATATGATGGGATACGTTTCAGGCTGGAGACCCGCTATGAGATTGCCATTCTGAAGGCCGTAAAGATGATTGACTTTCTGAACCATTTTCCCTGCTAGGAATATTACTCACTGTGGCATATGAGCACGTCAGCTCACAAGGTTATTCCTTGCAACTCTCCCCATCTCCCTACTTGCTGGCCTGCCTACCGACCTACCTACCCACCTACCCCTTTCGAATAAGAAATAAATGGTGGTTTTGAGTTCAAATTTCGCCGTGCTTTCCGAGTTCATGCTTTTTCACACTTGATGGTCCGACTTGGGACGCTTCTTAAAATAAGCGATTTCTACAGCGGCGAAGCGCATCCCTATTGATGTTGCTGCCTAAGTTAATGATTGCTCACAGGTAGTATTGGGTAAGCTTGATCGGGGACACCGCTGCATACGGAAACAAACTGAACATTCTGACTTAAGCTACTGACTACGTTCCATCCAACATAAAGGATATTGGAAGACACCAAGATCGTTTTCATCAGCAACGCTGTGACAGGCGATGCTATCACTGTATATGAAGAACCGATACCACTGATTTTCACCTGTAGTACTTCTCGATTTAGAAGACAACATTTTTCATGCAGAGTAGGAATAGCGTTTTCTTCAGGGTCATTATATTTGTTCTTTTACAGAACTGTGGAACAAGAAAACACATGTACAAGCTGTCCCGCTAAGCTGAGTGCGATGTAGAAATTTACGTACAATACTTTCCGAGCGCACCGACGACTGTCATGAAAGTGAAGATTTTTTCATCAGTTCTGTGTAAAACAGCCTGCATTTCGTGTATGAAGTCCAAATAACTTGCCAACCAGGAGCGTAAGCTTTGCACTTGGGGTAGGACGCGAAGAACTGCCTCTTCAATATTTTTACGCATTTCCAGTGAGTCCATCCATGCATGTACAGATAGAATGGTATCCATGCTGAACAAAATTTCTTGGGACAGCTCCAGATTATCGGAGAGTATTCCCGCCGCTTGTTGTTCAAACTTCTTCAAACGTTCCATCAAGTATGGCACTAAACTGAGTTGATACGCCAGTTCTCTGCTTTCATTAGAGGATATATGGCAAAAGTTTTTGTCGGATTCCATTGTTTCTGCATTTAGTGAGCTAAAGACGAATACGGTTCAACTGTTGTGACAGTCTGGAGAAGTGAAAGAACCGTCACGTGGAAATCGACAGAATTTTAAACCTAAAGTGACCTTCCACGTGAGCTGTCTGGGTCATGTGTCAGGTTCATCTGAGTTTTTTGGACGGCACGAAAAGAGCACGATTTGTGTGAGCTTGAATCCACTTGATCTTCTGTTGTAGTCTGGGCATTAGTTAAGAACATATGTAAAATTCAGTGCTGGGAGCCAGCCAGCAAGCCGCTATTTGTTTCTTCATTCCAACCTGTTTACTCACCTGATTCCCTCGTTCACCCACTCATTTATCCACTCATTCATTCGTTCTTTCGTTCACTCATCAGTAATTATTTCACCTATTCATTCACCCACTCGTTCAGTAATCTAGTTGAACAGTGCTTCATTGATTCGTTGATCCATTAATTCTTTTATTCGCAGGTTACCTAATATCGTTTTGTCATTTATTTGGCATTTTTTTAGCGCCTCATTCTTTGAGTCAGTGTTTCATTTGTTCAATTGCCCATTCACCTGTTATTCTGTATGCGCCCGCATTCATTCCTTCATTCAGCCTTCCCATCGTCGATCAACCAACTTACTCAAACATCCACTTAAAATTCTTCGATTGACTTTTATTTATTATTTTCATATTCATCCATTCGTTCAATGCACCTATTTTACTTTCGTTTTCGTATCTGTTGCTGGTTTTCTACGTCTGTTTTTCATTCTGTTTAGAAAGCAAGCGGCAGATTTGACTGACCAATCTGACGATATGCCAAATAACCAGTTTCGCTCGAGCTGGCTTTGAAAAATTTCAATTGTTCAATAATGTTGTGGCAAAGCGCATTAAGTTAGGAAAATATGGTTTCGATAAATATGTTGACGATTAAGATGTTTTCAAATGTTAGCTGGGATAAGTGCTAACACCAGAAGCTGTGGGTGACATAAGTGTTATGCTACTTATAACTACCAAGTAACCAAACAACGAATTTAAATTTCAGTCTATTACAGAAGAATTTTCCGATTCCTAGCAGTACGCCAGGGTTTTCTAGCACCCCAAGATCCCGCAAACTGCTGAGACAGTTTGCCTATATATTGATCCGACGTTAGAAGATAGATCTTACGTGATCCTTGACTAGTCCTTACTCAAGAGGCCGGATACACGTTGCAGTCACCGCGATGAGGCAACCTCCATTTGCTGTGGAGAACACTTCAAATCTCTAACCACCGACTGATCGCTGACTGACGCCGACTATATTCTACATGAGCCATTGGTGCCGTTGAGCTATCTATCACTCAAAATTTTTGGTTGTCTGCAGTGGAAGTCGGTTCACCCGTTTGGAACATAAATTTCCGTTGGACTTGTGGCGCGGATGTCTGCTGCAGGAATATATGGCAAATGTTTTTTATTCCTTGTTCATTTTGATGATGATGATGATGATGAAAATTGTTGGTGGTTATGGTGTGTTGATAAACGGTTCACCCGTTTGGAACATAAATTTCCGTTGGACTTGTGGCGCGGATGTCTGCTGCAGGAATATATGGCAAATGTTTTTTATTCCTTGTTCATTTTGATGATGATGATGATGATGAAAATTGTTGGTGGTTATGGTGGTGTTGATAAACACAGGTGGTGACGTATGCAGTATCAGTTGTCTACTCTAGTATCGTATGTTCCCACTGAGCTGTTATCGCGTCATCAAACTTGATGTAATCATCAAAAAATGGAAAAATACGTGGAACCTTCTTTACTATTTCTTGCACATTTGTGGGAATATTATCGTTCTTCTCCGGGCGACTGAAAATACTGGGACAGTTACTGGTTCGCCATTGAACGTGTGCAACACGCTATGACATCATCTATAGTGCGAGTATGTCCCCGCTTTTCGGTCAGATTGTTCTCGTTCAATCGGCGTACCTTAATTGACTATCGATGGTACGTTTGCCCAGCGTATCAGAAGTTAGATAGCCCAATCACGGCATAACAGATAAGGTGTGCTGTTGGCGACATTTTAGGAACCTGAGTATCTCGTCCTGTACCGCGTTCCGTTGGTGCAGATCAACTACAACAATTGTGCCAGAAAAAAGAATGTTCAGATGAGTGAAGCAGAAACAAAGACGCCTTAAACTTCCACTTCTGTCCGATGAATTAACTCATGTTGAAAGCGATATGACATCTGGTTATATTCTGGTTCAAACCTTTCTTTCTTGAAGTCAGTCCCAGTTTAACTGGTTATCTCCCGTTGTTATCTCTCACAGAATTTAAAGAGTCCTACCGCTTCAAATGTACGGAACATAAACGTGCTACTGTTATTCTAAACTCACTAAAGCACACTTAACATCTAAAAATGCACACAGGAAAGTCCAAAGCTCAGCTTAGAGTGGATCTAACTTCTACGGCTGGAATGGACGCGAGGAAATTTTCAAACAACAGTGACGTAAATACCAAAGAATTACTTCAAGCGCAAGATATAACTTTCAACAATCAAAGCCTCCTTTAACCCTACTTTTGACGTCCCATTAAATTCCTAACCACTTCTATTGAAACGGCTGAGCGCCTCATAATCCTTCAACAGATTTTTAGGAGCCGAGGTATTCTATCTTGGATAGTTTGGCAAGCGAACGATTCTACAGACTGTGCAGCATCATAAATATGGCTCATTAAATAAGAATAGCTTCTAGACTTGAGGGGCGGTTGCTTAGAAATCGTGGTGAAGCAGGAATGACTTGAGCTATGCGTGATTGCGTTGGTGAACACAATATGGGAGAGAATAATGAGTGAAAATGTTCCACATGCTGCACACTCTTCGCTTACATGTAGTTGTTTTTGTAGTCAAACAATCGTTTGCCTAAGTGGATTAAGTCTATTTGAATTCCGCTTGAATTGCACAATATGGCGAACACGGGACTGACGAGTGTGCGTTCTTCTGAGGCATTTACCGCAGAAAATGGGGGAAGACATTGGCAACTGAGATGGATATTTGGACTGTGTATTTTGCCACCACAGTGCTCTGTTCAGTTACCCAACCGTTGGCTTTGAACAAAGTGAACACAATCGCTGATTGGTTTTGGACCCTTGTAAGAGGGGCTGGGTAATGCGGAGTTGCACAACCACACGAATCGGATGATGGTGGTCGCATCACTGTCGTAAGTCGTCCTCCCACTAAGTGTCCGGACGATTCTATATAAACAATCGGCTTGCTCGTGATTCCAGCTGTGCATGCAAAAGTACCCGAATAGTGCGCGTTTATATGCATTTGCCAACGGTTCATATTGAGTTACTCACAGGGCCACAACGCTTTTTTTCCATCGTTGTTCAAAAGGTTTTGTATTTTAAAACCTAGTTGTTTATGCTAGTCTCCTATTGGGTATTATTGGACCCCACATTGAATGATGTCCTTTTTCGGCTTTACCTGTGTATTGAAGGATATGTTACTAAAATTCTCAAAGAAATTTTGTCTTCTGAACCCGTCAGTTTTCAGAGGACAGGTACTAACAACAACACAGACGACACAGCGACGCGGATATTTACTTTCAAAGTGGTTAGTTAAATGGATCTTGGGTGGTATGAATGAGGGTTTGCGTTTCAGTAGTGTAGCATTTCTCCCGGCATGTTTTCAAACACACTGTCCTCTGGGATTCCCACATAAGGGCTTCATTTCTAATGGAGCCATCTTTACCCAGTCTGGTGAGCTTTACCATTAGAGTAGTGGATAAATGGGACCATAAAATAATGGCAGCCTCTTCAGCGATGACTGTTTAGCTCACACTTCAAGGAATACGTAAACTGGTTGGTATGGAAACTGATTTCTGTCTAGCTGTGTCAAGGAAGGGTGCTGAATCCGCAAGTTTAGTTACACCTGGTTAAAACTGAGGACACTGCTGATACCATCAGACCTTCCTACCACCCGTATCATACAGGCAGTGGTCCATAGCCCACGGCTGTTACAATGAATCATATGATTTACGAGGGAGCGCTGATTCAATGCTATCTGTTATGCCTTTTTAGTCAAACCTGTAGATATTTCAATCCCTCAGGGTAAATTTAGTGTGCGGCAAGTAACCACGTCAAACTGGCTACTCTATTAGACGACTGCACCCTAAATGTTCCTGTCCTCCAACAGTAAATAAATGTCATTTAGATTGGTCGGAAAATGGCCACGGAAACTAATCACACAGAATGTATTTCAGAGTGTCAGTGTTGTAGAACCTTGACTATTCACCTACTCTTTTTTGAAGGTATATTCGTAGACGTTCATACCACTGAGCCAAGGGTAGACTATCTTTTCTCCGAATTCTCTGTTTGTCAGATAAACGTAAGGACCCCTAGTGATTATACACAGAAGCTATCTCTAATGTGCGTGAGGATATGACAGCTTATATTCAATGGTGAAAGATGGTATGGCTATGCACTCGCCGCTAGTTTCGTAACTCTGGGAGTCTTTATGGTCAGGTGGNGAAGCTATCTCTAATGTGCGTGAGGATATGACAGCTTATATTCAATGGTGAAAGATGGTATGGCTATGCACTCGCCGCTAGTTTCGTAACTCTGGGAGTCTTTATAGGTCAGGTGGCAAATACCATGCAGCAGGAATCCATTTACAATCACATTTTTCCCCACAGTGTCCTGTGTGATGCTCTCGAGCCAAAAAGCGGACGAGCTTCTTGAGCTATTTTAACACAGTGTGTATAAGTCTCATGTTCAAAGTGGGAAGGGAATTTAATCACATCCCACTATTCTTGAACATTCCGGCTACTAGTAGATAAGATCAGTCGTTGAAAACATGAATACTCCGTGGGGTTATGCTAGACTGTCAGTACCTTCATTATTTCAGCTTCATATCAACCGGACCAAAACATGATCCTGTACTTTGTCTAGCAGACCGACTGAAAAGGATCTGCACTGAAGATAATCTCCAAGATGACTTTCCAAGTCTAGCTCACCTCTCCACTCCGAACCGTTACCCGCATTGATTTACTGTTGCAAGCCTCCTAGAGGAATGCAGGTCTTGGGCCGTGGGCGAACAAAGGATACTGTGCCCTCTATCAATAAAACACTAATCAGAAAATAATTGGCCGACGTTTGGCTTGAAGGTACTTATAACCCCTTTTAATTTCTAGACCAGTTGTTGCCCTTTGACTGAGAAATAGGTCAGCAACAGTCAGCTTTTGTTCTTGTGTATACCATCCTACTGGTGCTTATGGAGCGAGTTATGCTGCAGACACGACTTAATGTCTATCAGAGACCATTTACACACACAACACCCATAACTTTTTACACTGGCTTGGCAAAACAATTAAGGAGCGCCAGTTATTCCAACTCGACCGCGGATTTTCGACAGATTCACCACGTCTTAAGTGGCTAGTATGAACTAATCACGTGCTATCTGTTGTCGACCACTAAGGCGACTACCATCTGGTTGATTAAACCTAGACACTACACAGACTATTCTCAAAGCAAATTGGTGTATTTCTCGAAAACAGTGCAATTTGGGTTCAAGTAGATCATAAGGTTGACGGAAACTCGGGGACTGCGCCTGCCTGATGAGCCCCAAGGAGGGCGAAACCGGCCGTGGGCTGTTGAAGAGTTTTCAGCAGACTTGTGAGTAGTTTCCTTTTATGAAAATATGCTGTGATATCTCAAATATCGTGCCAACTGAACCACGAGGCGGCCTGTGTTCAGCACATTCAGCTGGAGGACATCATAAACGAGGGGTTCAATTGAGTCTCCCGTGAAAACCAAATTAATTTGCAAATGAGTGTATTTCTTGAAAACAGTGCAATTGGGGTTCAAGTAGATCATAAGGTTGACGAAAACTCGGGGACTGCGTCTACCTGATGAGCCCCAAGATGGGTGAAACCGGTCGTGGGCTGTCGAAAACTTTTCAGAAACCTTGTGAGTAGTTTCCCCTATTCTCAAAGCCCTTAGTTTACTTTTACAGCCTCACATGGCACATAGTCTCCAACAAGCTTCGTTACTATCTGATTATAACGCTCCCTTTCCGTCCATCTGCACTGATACATATTATCTTCATACTTTGTCCATTATATCAGCCATTTGCAGAGTATTTAGCCGGTTGAATAACAGCTGAAAACGAATTCGTTTCCCGTCCAGTCTTTTAATGTTTCTCTCAGGAACCATGAGCACTTTAAATCAGGTACTGCACTGGAGAACCATATGGATGATAACGTCATACCATATATCTGATCAATTTCCATGAACAGAGACATTCCGAAAGGGAGGCCACCTGGACCAGTTCTCTCGGGTGATCCCTATTAGGAGTGGACATTCTTTTCATGTTAGCCGGGGTATGTCAAGAAACCATTTCGGTTGGACGAAAACGGTATGATCGCCGGCAGGTGACCAATATTCTGACCATCAGAAAAGTGACATTACCTGTTGAAGATAGGATCAAACTTACTTTGACCTACCCATGGGGCACTATGAGACAGCTTCAGCAAGGATACTGCTGTCTTAGTAGTCAGATTTCGCCAATGCAGATATTTTTTACATGACCACCAGTTTCACTGATTTCCTGTTGAGTCTACTTGCAAGCCGCTTAAAAACCGACCAGTTTTGATTGAGCGTCACAACACACTGACATTGAAGTGTTACATAGTCGAAACACCTCTGACTTGGGTTAAGTTCTCCCTCGATCTAAAGTCGTTCTGACGTATGTAGTTGCACCGTCCAACAGTGAAAACAGAAAATCCAGAAGAGGTGCCCGACCGATCTCCTGTAAAAAACGGAAATACATAAAACATGAATGTTTTATTTTGATGCAACGTGTTCCATGGGAGGGAAAACCCACAATGAATTTGCCATTGCTCTTCGTACGATCAAGAAGATGGTCTAACCAAAACAGGTTAGCAATGTTGTGGAAGGTAGGTCGCTCGTGTGCACTGCTTGGTTGTCGGTCTGTTCGCTGAGCTTGGCAGTTGGGTTACAAACGTTTCATCACCAATCGAGGTGGCAAATTCTCGCTCCTGTTTTGTTCTTGCGTGAGCCAGTATTTGAACATTGTCCCAACTGAACTTGTGTCCTTCTCTGTCTTCGTGAATTGAGACCAAAGGGAAACCAAAAGGGAAGGTTGGATGCATTGAAGAATACTAACGTGGTCTACAGCCTTAAGCGCAACGACTGCGACAAACACTACGTTGACCAAACGGGAAGGAAACTTGCTACCAGAATACAATCTTGCCAGCAGAAGACATGACCCAATGTCGCTTGTCTCAATTCACGAAGACAGAGAAGGACACAAGTTCAGTTGGGACAATGTTCAAATACTGGCTCACGCAAGAACAAAACGGCAGCAAGAATTCGCCGAAGCGTGGTACTCCACACAAAAATCGACCAATGAACACATCGACATTGACCCACTCCATCAGCCGTTACGGACAAAAGAACCACACAGTCACGGAACTCTGAGCACAAAAACCTAACGACAACCAGCGGACTAGTTGGGTCAAAGGAAGACAGTTACTAAAAACAGAAGGCCACTGAATTAACCAATCAAGGGAACAAACTCACCACAAAGCAAGAAGAAAATGGCCGAATCACAATAGAACAGCCACACACAGAACTACCGAACTGAATGCTCCCAACGAACCAACCGGACACAGGAGATTGAGAACAGGTCAGATTCACAGGAGACCAATCAAACTACGCGGAGACCGTTTCCGGAACTACCAGATACCGTTTAGCCGCTATATAGTCATAGGCAGAAGAGAAGGAATTCACCCCACTCAACCCTGCACTGACGATGTCACCTCGATTGGTGATGAAACGTTTGCAATCCAACTGCCAAGTATGGCGAACACACCAACAACCAAACCATTATTGAGGGCTGTTGATGTAGGGCAACCTCGACTGCACTTATTCACGGCTTTATATGGTTCATACTAAGATGAGACCATAAAATTGAAAGTTTGTACAACAGAGATTTTGGGATTGTTAAATATTACAGTTAAACGCAACAAAAGACAAACTGTTCCCTACTTTTACACGTTTTGCTAAGTTGAATCCGCACAGTAGTGGAATAGAGCTGGTCTCTGATTGACTGAGGACCGTAAGTCATACAACCACAATATGCATTAAATCATGTTAAGTCAAGTGTGGGTTACTCGAGTGTCCGCTGGAACACTTCATACCGTAGGTCAAATCGGTAGATTGGCAGGATGATCCGGTGTTCTCGGTATGTGGATTGCTGTCGGAATACAGCAATTTACACTGCAGAAGGCTTGCATATCTTGTCTATCAGCTCATTCTGGCATACACACAAAACAGGTCTTTGTACAGTTCTTCCGTAACAGTTCCGATTTCGTGTGCATAAGAAACATTCGCAGAAGTTTTATTAGCATCCTGTCTATTGATCGACCTTGAGTGCTCACACCAGTGTTAGACAGGCGAAGCCCAAACAAGGTTCAGTTGTGCAACGAAGTGTTTGAGCATACCACAATGACATTCACATATGCATCAGAACTTTAGCAGAAGAGGGTCTGAATAGGTTAGTCGTCCTACCACTGTCAAACGAATATGTTTTTTGCCACGTCCAGTATTCATCAAAGCGAGTATTGAGTGAAATGTGTGAATCTGCCGTCTGTGCTGCAAACAAACTCTTTTTCGGATAAAAGTTCCGCCTTATTGGCGACTTCCATACTTTCAGCGGTTCTTACGATGGAACGTGAATCAGTGGAAACTAGGAATGGAAAGACCGCAACCCCAGGAAGACATCCATCGAATTCGGTACTGAAGGATGAGATGACCACGTCTCCAATCATATCTTTAGGGGTTGAGAGGCAACATTCAAAATCCGACGAACATTACCAAAATGGTTATTCGCAGTCACATCAGAAACAATCTAGGACCCCCGGTGTAGAACCACTTTTTACCCGACAACACTGCGCAACTCCAGCATCGATCCAAGAGGAAATGAAGAAATGCTGTAAGTACTAGTTTGTTTATAATAGCACATTCTTAATATAACGATATCAAAAACACAAGCGAAAATAAGTTAGTTTACAAAGAAGAGTACCCCCCACAGCTATGGGAGCATGTCAGAAAAGGAATAAAATGAACAGGGATCGTTAGATAAAGAAGTCGGTGCTGTAACTTTGATGCAGCTAATATCAAAAAGTCCGCTTGGTCAAAAATCACATATGAGATTATCTTAATTTTCTCAGCAAAAATAGCTTTGTACGTGATGGTTCAAAGTTCAAATAAAGGAATGACAGGCTGACACAAATACATATATATATATATATTAATATTTTAATTATCATCATTATTATTACCGTTACTGTCATAAGATAGTAAATTGCGCCATTTGTTGGTGTACAGATTCAGCCTGGCTACATTCACACCAATCTCTCACAATTTTTTGTCAAATGTGCATTTCGCCATCCGACCAAGACGATGTTAGGCGTTCTCACTGATAACGCGGTAAGACTTTCCCACTGAAATTTGTTTCCAGAAAAGGCACTGAATAGACTGTTACATTTCCGATGGGAAACTTAAGTCCGGTTATAAGAATAAAAAGTCTGGTTTAATGTGTTTTAGACAGCAGGATCTGTAATTTATTAACAAGCGTATTGCTTAACGGTTCGTAAAGCACTATTGTGCATTGTCCGCTGAGAAGTTTACAGCAACAGCTACAAAAATTGAAGTAAAAAATGGATGAGTAAGAAGATAGAGGAGCACACTTTTAAGTCACTAAAAAGTAAATATTGTAGTAGATTTTTACTGCAGTGTATCCTCGGAGTGCGAAGTGCCAATGAAAAATTGCTGTGGGTTGGAGCATCAAACTCATGATTGACGCCATGATCTCCATTTATGACGGAAATCATTTACCTGATGGCAAACTAACACTGTCGAGTAAAAATGGACCTCGCTTACCAACTGAGTAAGAATTGGAGCAGCCGGATTAAATAATAGTTTGTTCCGTCTTTGGGATAACACACGGCCGATCCACAGGAACAACCAAAAATAGGGAATTTCGAATAGCAAATGGAGCAACCGGAGACTGAACCATCAAAAAGGGTAGTCTCCCACGGTTTAATAGAAGATATGTTGGATGAGGCAGACTATCCAGAGTGCCAATTTTAACCTCAAATTTAACAAAAGCTCGTGCACCTTAAGTGGGTCTACCCGACACCTACTTATTACTCTTCTGAACTTCACTTCTAAACTCCAATGAATTAAAGCAGACCGCAGACCGGACGTCACAGCTGTGGGAACCTGAAACTTCTCGATGGAAAGAAGTCTGAATTGGGGTATCCGCACAGAATATAGTCTTACTTACTTGATGGTTAAAAATCGTAGCATGCATTCAATGATCGGTGACTATTCATTACACAACTTAAGTAGCCTCTTTGGTAGAAGCCTCCGACGATTGTAACAAATAGCTAACAAACGACTGTGTTATTTGCAGCAATCGCAAAGACAGTCATACATTTCAGAGCCTACGGGTATGTGATCGATATTACACTTCAATACGATATAGCATTGGATTACTTGGCTTGTTTCGGAACACATGGCTTCTGATGGGCTGCGCATTTGAACTTCAATCTGCCTAAGTATTTTGCATACCACTTGCAGATCAAAAGTTTTAAACATAGTCTGGAAAAAGCCAACTTCCGTATTATTAAAAAGATTACGGAAAGCATTTTCAGGCAATGGGAGGTTAATCTGTAGGAGTGCATATTGCTGGATTCCCCTACTGAAAGTTGTTTTTCTCTGTGGGTCGAGGATATCACTTGGCACCAACCAGGGGACCTTTTGTATTGCAACTGACATACCCTAATCGGTGTTCCCAAGGAACACGCATATCTAAGTGGTTTATGTACCAGTAAATCTAAGCTCTAGATGTCACCATTGTATATTGAAGGCCAGCAGGGGTTCACAGAAGAAATCTATTGGTGTTAGTAGCATTTCACCAAGGATATCAATCGGGTCAGTGTCATCGCCATTGTCTTTGTCCTCTTTTTCGTCACAATCAAGTATATCGGCAGCTTCACTGTCATGTACAATAATCATGCTGCTAAATGCTGACCTTTCACCACAGTCTACCTACTTCAAGTTACTTCAAGACCGTGTTGAAAAGAGAAACGGATGAAAATTTGACGGGGTATATCAGTAAGCCCGGTAGGTAGACAACGATTAAAGCAATACAAAGCAACGATTCAACGATTCAAGCTGGAGCAAACCGTCCGGACTTGTTAAACACTGAAGGTTCTACAAACAACTCAAACGGTTCTTTTGAGAATTCCAAGAAACGATTCAACATTTTTAGTGAAAACTTGGCGGTTTGCCTACCTCTACTTGCAAGTCGTTCACATTGGCAAGTGTTTTTAACTTGCGGATAAATCAGCTGGAAATTCAATAAAAAAGTCGATAAAAGGCTGTTTAGGAGCAAGGCTCCCTCTACGTTGATGGAAAACTAATTAAGAATATGACTTGAGTTCTCACTGGTGAATATCGTAGATAACGTAGAGGAAAAACCTGTTTGTTGTTTTCTGAAGTCTTGCCCTATTCAACTAGAAACCGATATATGATGCGGGTTTTTTTAAGGATTTTGTACCGTCAACCCGACAGAATTTTAGCTACCTGTCCCTGGTTGGACTAAAGCAATATCTATGGCCTTCGGTGCTCTAAAACCACAACTATTTTACTCCGAATAGAACAAGTTTGAATGCAGTGGAGCAGTCATAATAATATCCTTTACTTTCCGGTCTCTGAAGAACCCATCTACTAATATGGATCACAGAGAATTCAATTGTATGTGCGCTGAAATGTGGCGCTGCGTGCACATTTTTACTGGCCCACAAACGACCCCACTATGCCGTGGCCGGATGGGACTCAAGTGATGGCGAATGTTGTTTGGATCGCGTGATGCACGCAGGCTTTGAAGGCAGGAGTAGCGCTGGGGATCCCCGTTCACTGTCACTTTGTTGGCTTGTGAAGCCATTCCCATGACACTGAACGGCGGTATTATCTCCTATATAAGACTAGCAGTTTTATTTGACACAGGATCACCATGTAGAGATTACAGTGGCTTATGGGCAGTACAGCTGTGACTGCAACAGGGCTGTATGTCGGTTCAACAAATTTACGGAAGCTGCGATTCCAGCGACGAACGTGTCCTTATGCCTAATCTTTAGTGAAAGAATAAGGTTCACATAGTATACCACGCGCAAAGCTTGCACAGTCCCAGTCATATAAATATCCAGGTTCTCGGCAGCACTTCGGTTGAACAAAAACATGTTTGCAGAGGGCAACTCCAGAAATGAGTATAAAAACAGCAAGGATAGCACGAAACTGCTTTTGAGGGATAGTTACAATAGATAAACAAAGTAAACGTTTGCGAAACAATAGTGGTAAGCCTCCAATATTACCAATTTTTAAATTTTTAAAGACGAGATCTTCCAACCTTGTTGTGGTCTTTTCTTGTTTCTATTTTTCACCATTTTCTTCTGCGATCGCCTTGCAGAAATAGGTTTCTAGAATGCGTTCACTCAGCTTAAGCAGCCCAGGTTGTCAGCTTTCACAACATTTAAGGTTCGCAAATTCACGTATGCTGTTTGGGGTACCCTATTCACATCAAATTGGTGCGGTAGATTGAGTTTGTGTCTGCTGATTGTGTTCCCGGACCGTTTGGACGGCGTTAATGTAGTAGCGAAGAAGCCCATGCATAGTTGTTGAAATATTTCAACGGTAGAAATAAACATAAGTCAGGTTTTGATGCAAAGAGCCAGCTGCACGAGACCTTCTGGATGTTGGCCATCCAAGACAACATTCGTTTCTCTGAACTGCTTAACAGTTTCCAGGACCATGTTACACGCAAGTCTACTGACTAATATGACTTCTGCTGTATGACTTTTTCAGCAGTGACAGTACTTGCTCTCCACTGATCCCATACAAGTAATGTGGCTTTTTTGTTGAAGTGCATTATAAAGAATGAGGCAATCCCAGGCTTTCCAGTATGTTTATCCCCGTTTTCACAACACAAATTTACTTGGGTACATTTTCAGTGAATGAAAGCTCTCCTGGTGATAATTTTCGAAAGTGAACAGCACTTGTATAGTAAGGATGTCCTCTTATGTTATCACCATCTGAGTGACTAAATTTAGCGCGAGATAACCGCGTGTGCTTCGAGATTTATGGATACTGGGTCTTAATTAAAAATAACATGGATTTCGGGGAACAAGAAGTCAAATTAAACACAGATGAAAGGGACTGAAACGATCACGACCCTCTGTGAGATGACACTAAAAGGTTGTGTTAACCCCAGAGAAAGACGAATTATCCACTCAGGTCACATCATTACGGTAGTTTTTCGAAAGTTCGGGCAAAATTTAAAACAGTCGGGTAAACGATGAGTGAACCAACCGAGTTCACATTAATCACCCATTTATGAAAAGGTTTGAATTGAGAGTCAAAAAAAGAGTTATTTAAATGCGTTTCTTCATGATAGAAGTGAGTTTAGTCCGTTTGAAGAACGAGACACCACACCGTTTCGTTTTGCTATGAGTTTCTTAAACAACAGGTATGTCAAATATAGAAGATATTATAACAGATGAGATTTTTGGTCTTTCAATTTTTCTTCCACGCTTGAGAATCACCAATCTGCCTCAACTAGAGATGGGATTGCATTCACTTGTTCTGCCTGCCTACGTAAGTCATGCTGCTAAACTCTAGGAAAGCAATGGTGGTTTTAGTGGGGGCAACTTTGAGAGCTGTTCTAAGGTACTTCCAACTTCTATATGTTTGCACAACCAAAATTGCATTCATTCGTTTTTTTAATGTTTGGGGGTGATGCACTAGCTGAGGTAATTTCATGCAATTGATTAATTTTGTGACACGAAAATTTTCTAATGACTACCAGATATGTTATCCTTTGCTGACTTTTAATCTCTTAAACTATTTCTGTCCCCAATAAACAAAGTAGGTTTAAGGAGTGCCATTACATGAGTGTTTTGCCTTATGTACTGATTGTAACATAATTCTTTAACAATTTATTTGCTTCAACCATCCTTGCAGGAAAGTTAACGGGAAAGTTATTCGTCACCAACCTACTCATTTCAACTTGCGCACAAAATCGAGTATATACCAAATAGATTATCGGATCCAGACACATTTGTGCTTGGTTTTTCATCGTGGGTTTAGGGTTGCCAGGTCAATAAATTGATACTTAAGCAGAAGTTGAATTAGCCTAGCACTCATTAGGTTGCGATGCACTTGAGGTTGCAGGATCTTTTAAGAACAAGCATTTCTACTTTAAAAAAGGGATACTGTACGCACATTTCCCAACATGTCTTGGTATAAAATTCAAGCAGTACACAATACTATACCACCTGTGACATTCACGGATTGTTTCACGTTTATCCTTTCAATTTCCAAGTAGAATATATTTTATTCTGCTTTAGTATGACGCAGGTATTGTCGTGTATTAATTTGTAATCTTTTTTAAGGGGTGTGAACGTAGATTAGATTCGCTTAGCTTGCTAAGTCCTCACCCCGATAACACCAGACAACAAAGCATGCGCACTAAAAATTCTGCGGTGCACAAGTAGGAAAATTATTCAGCTCTGAACTTTACAAACTTGCAATGCCCCAAAGCTGTTTTATCTTCATTGAAATTCCTGATTACCCAAAATCACAGTAGCTTGGCATGGAGGTGAGGCCTTTCAAATTTCAGTGGAATAATTGTCCAACTAACGACGACTGGAAAAACTTCAATCATCCTCTTATTTCAGCTGACGAGCGTGAAAAAGCTGACGTTCTGTTACGGGTGCTTGAGAAGCAAAAGACCGAAGCCAATGCTCTCTCCGAACTTCATCGTCAACTCAACATGACACAGAAAGCTGACGAACTGAAGCGACTTGCCGACCAAAATGCGTATTCTATCGCCGTATTTAACCGTCGTCTACAACAACGTCGTCAGATTCCGTACACATTCGAACTTATCAATATGCCACAGGCCAATGTGAACGTTGATTTGCCACCGAATGTTCTTGAGGTTGCCGAGATTCGTGCCGTCGATTACCGTATACCTTCAGATTGTGGGGTCACTCTAGAATCCTATGTGCAGCTTGAAATAGCCTATCCATCCGCGAAAAAAATGCAAAAGGTCAAAACTGACTGGATCAGATATCTGAATGGGATATGCTACAATCCAGTGCCAATGCAGTTCACCATCGATCCAACCTCAGATGCTTATGCACAACTGCTGAAACTGAAGGAACAGCTCAAGGCAACAGTAAGCAGGCTGACGCTTTTAACGTACATTCGTTTGAACAAATAATTTTCGGATGATAAAATACTTTTCTTCGTAAGGCATTCAGGCAACTGTACAGAACTACTCTCAAGCATATCTTATCGATGTAAGTTTGAACGGGTCATATTTACTCGCACCACTCCTGGGGCAAGCTGAGTGTCACCAGTCCGCCAAAAGGTTTAACGTTTATTCTTAATCCAATCTGAGGCCGACGTGTAGACAGTACTACTTCTTCATACAGGCTCGAGAATGTAACTCATTTTTGAAGATACAAAAAACAATATAACTTTCGATATAATTTGCCATACTATATATTTGGGTGGCAGTGGATTCTGCAGCATTCTACCAGCAGTAACATAATTGGCTCCTTCAATCTCAGATCGGCGTAACAATCACCTGCAGGTATTTGCTGGTAGATGAAATAAATCTTAATTCGGTGAGAGACTCAACAGAATCCCAAATCAACCCCCCATATACACTATCTCGTTTTGCATGATTTTCCAGCTGGCATTATAATCGGGATGTTGCAGTAAACTCTTGACAAAGCATGCTACCCATAAGTTTGCTGACAACTCTTCGACAGTCCATGACACGTTTCGCCCTTCTTGAGGCTCACCAAGTAGGCAAAGTCTCCAAGCTTTCATCAAGCATTCACCAATCTTGAATAGCAAATTTTGAGCCGCATGTTAAGCTGAAAAGTCTTGTAATGGAGGGATTCACCGGAACAGTGTATTACTGAGTGCATTACTCGAACTGCACGAAGTGTGATGTTCAAGTTGATGAAAATTGGCGGATTATGCTTACTCGACAAACAGCGAATTTCAGTACTGGGCTGTCTAGTAGTCTTCAGAGTATGCCGGGTCAAGGAAATCTAAATTGTAAGGACAGTATGGCTCACTGCCCTTCCACAAGAAATACTTTATCCGATTTTACTCAGGGTTGTGTGTCTTGCAGAAAAGTCCTGTGGGCTCATGCAACGCTGTTGACTCCCGTCAGTATAGCAAAGGCTTTTAAAAAAATTCAGTTGTCGATGTGTCAAGATTTTTTGTTCTGCATCACTTTCCACATTTGTTTAGGTGACCATATCTCAGAAGTTCCTTCACAGTTGGGATATCTTCCGAGCCTAGTATATTTATTTGTCATGGAGGCGTTTTTCATAACCAAGTATCAACATCACCCGTCCCTGGAATTCACGAACGACTGAGGAGCATATCGATATTTTCAGTACACTGAACTCAGTACGTGCATTGATATAGAAGAATTTTGTGCAAATTTGCTAGTGTAGTCGGTCTGTTACGTTAATTTTCAGCTAATATGTTTTTTCACTTGCTTTCATGCTATGCCGGGAGTTATGTACAACCTGTAAAGTAGAGATTTGATGTTCTTCAGAATCATTAAATCATGCAAATGCTAGATTCATTCATCATTACATGCCATGTTGCAAACTAAGTAGAACAGAAAAGACGAGGTTTTTGTGTTTCATCATCAAGCTCTTACGTTTTCACAATTACCAAGTTAGCTACTGGAATAAACTAATTCACAATTCACGAAAGGACACAAATGCCCACTGAGGTCACGAGCAGAACGTCGGAACATGTGTGCGTTGTGGATGAGGATGGTCGGAAAGCAGGGTATTTGTGGTAAGATCGGTTTTATAAGAACTACAGGTCATCGACGTCTAAATGAACTGTTTCTGTTCTCGGTCGAACTAACAGTTCTTCGCTAGAGAAATACACACTTAAGTCCACACTACAATGATCTAGAGCATAACACACGTTCCTCATCCGCTAGATACCCGGTAGAATGATTAATCGACATTCGTCGGCACTTTCCATTCAGTTAATCTTTGAACCCGTGATTCTGTTTACCGTTTACATAGGCACTTCCCAGAAGCTTTAAACAAACAGCAAACACGTCTCAAGAGCACCTAAAGTTTTAAATCTGGTAAGAAAGCAAGTTCCTCCTAGTTCCAAAAGTTGAGATTTTCGCAACTTACTCGGTAACGTACCCATGTATGTATCTCAACGATCGGTTTGGAATGGGCTCATCCGCTTCGCTCCTGGGTTGCACTTCTGGAAAGCTGATTTCTTTTCGAATTTTCACTCACCAGAGAACTAACTGTGTGCCTTGACTTAGAAAAATTGCGTGAGAATAAGAAGTCTGTCAATTGGAGCTGTTCGTTCCTAATCATTTTGATTCTTGGTAATCTATTGGAGAAAAATCTCCAGTCTGAAAATGAACTCTTTCTAGTAGAAACGAATAAGTGTTTTTAGGTAGAAATGCATCTGGTGATTGTACAATATGAATCTGAGCCAACTGTGATTTCTTTCTTTCGTATTCATCAGTATTAGTCACTAGTCCTTTTTCAATTTTTCTTGTAAAAACTACACAGCTGATTTCGCTAATATAGTTGAAGCGATGGCAGCTGAAGAGACATACGTGGTATAAAAAATGAAAGTTGCACTTAAGTCTCACACTCACACAGCTGTTTAGTTCACTTGAGCGTTTTTTGACGTATATTGAATAGGAGCTCTTGAGTATTTTACAGTCCCATGGTTTTAAGCAACAAAGTTGTTCTAAGATGCATCTAATACAATAGATTTTCGCACAACAAGCCAAGCCACTGCCCTTATCACTGAAGACACCGACATTGGCTCGTATAGATGGAATTGTTGCGCAAAACTTCCCGTGCCCTGACGGTGACATTTTACACAGATAATTTTTGCGTGCACCAATCGTTTGAGAATAAGATTTCTGTCAGCTCCATTTTTTATCGATAAATTCAGCTGTGAAGTGAAGAATGCACATAAAGGCGGTAACTCTAAAAACAACCTGAGCAATCAGTACCTATATTGGCTTACGTTGGTCAGCAAAATGGGCCAGGCGAGACAATAGCCGTCTGAGTGTATCACATCCTAACTCTCTAAACTTCCAGACACTCCCTACCAGTGACCATGATATACAGAGTGCATTTGACTCAGTTCGACTGAGCTGCCATGCATAAGTTTTGACAGACAGCGAGCTAAGTTGGAAAATAGACATACTTCAAGGAATCGGTTAAGTGACCCTATTCCACTGCGGTGAGAGCGCGCCCCAATCGCTAGCTCTGATTCCTTCATTCGGTTTATAGTGCGTTCTAAAAACATCTTGAAAGACAGAATGCTAACTTACCCTTGTGACATTTCACAACCGCAGATTTGCGGACAAAATAACAACGCTGGGAGCATTTGTTAATTTAATTATTGTGTCTCATCTGATCTGCTGAAACCAACCGATTTGTGAAGCTTAACCCCCGAGGACTACTTTTATTTAAATCTGATGCAGCTCGTCAGTTTTTTTCGGCACTTCCTAAAATACAGTAACTTGAATGTGCGCCATCCTGCTTTCGAACTGTTTGTGTTATTTTAAGTCTTGTAACCCACCCTCGTTGTGCTTACCCAGCAGCAGAAAGCAATCACTAACAGGCTAATGTGTAGTATAATTCCACACAGTCATTCTGAAATGGTTTATCATAGTACTTATGCGTACATTCTCAGTACCAGTCACTTAATTCTTCATAAACGGTATCAGGAGGGGCCATAAACTGCCATGGTATTTAAGAATGTTCCTTTAAGGTTTATTTTGCTAGATATGTGTATGCACGAATTAGCCACAAACTTTGCTTGCGGACCATGCTTGTGTGCTGAGCAAATTATCATGGAATACAAAGAACATACAGTCGGTGGAGCAGAGCAAACCAAGTCGACCAAAACCATATTGGTGAGGCAGTCACCAATATCGTCCACTGCATGTGAAACTTTCTGCTGGGTCGCTATTGGAAAATCAGTGGAACAATCCAAACAACATAGACAAAGTTCACAAACGTCGACGGCATTAGTCAGAAAATCTGAATTCCTTAGTGCAACTGCCAATCAACCAGCCGACTATACAGAATTTGCTTCAGACGATTGTAAGGTTTAAGTTCAGACCATTCGTTTGAACGGCGCTTCTTATTTTTGGTCGAAAGACAGTAGACTCGTGCGAACCAAAGTGGACCAGAGTGAACGATATTTCTGACCCGGTAAGAGCCTATCAACTCTAAGTATTCTCGACCGTGCCAACGTTGGAATCCCGGGTATGTGAAACGTGAGGCATACATGTGAACACAAACCTAGCGCACGCAAGACACATCTGAATCATGGTGTCTGTATGAATGGTATTGCTAGAACTGGCACTCAGTCGAAGTTGGTAGAGTTCATGCTGTCAGTTTCTTTCCAAACTGTCTGAGTGAGCGCTTGTAGGTGGGCTTGTTGGCGGTAGGCTAGCACCAGAGACCCTCATTCACTCCTTCCCATTTTTCCACTTTAATGCCATAAGTGTAATTAACTGTAGTTCTCGGTTGAATGGCAGATAAACATCAGCGCCAGTACTGATACTCTCGCCTCTGATGTGGATAACGATGATGATAACCCATTGGTTTGTGTTTCTGAAATATGTATCATCGTAGATGCTTGAATCCTGCAGGAAAACTACATGAAAAAGTATGGCTGTTAAGCGGCTGTCCAGGGAACATAGGTGCAGTAGCGGATTAAAAATCCGGCTTACTTAGGGAGGCACAACACTGAAGGAGGCCCGAAGACAGTGCTTTCGCCACTTGCTATGGGCTAACCAGAATATTCGGGACTGGATGGGAGGACAAGGCCTCTTCGAACGAGCCTATCCGAATGATGTCGAATGAGCAATACTTACCGGAGTAGTGCTTCGTTTCATTCCATTTTTAAAGGTAACTGAGACAAGTGATCATTGTAAAGTGGGAGGCGTGTTTCACCTTGAGGGTAACCATAGCGTTATACTGAAGCCAAATTCGCCTACTTCAGCTCATGGTGCAGCCCAATCGGAAGGTATCATGATACTGAAGTAAGAGCCAGATTCAAATCATTTTGTGGGAAGTGAATGGATAAAAGAGCTCACCGTTTCAAACACTTAAATATGTCATCCACCAC